ACATAAAGGATTCGTTAAAAAAGTTTTCTAACATATCAGCTATTGGTTTCCTTTGGTCATTACATTTGGTCGCACTGACTAAAACCTTCAGGGTTTGTGAGGCATAGCCAAGAAGTGTAGCGTTTTTGACTCCACGTGATAACCACATGGTTATTATAGGTTTTGGTCGTTTTCAGCTACCGAGACACACACAAAGTGTGTGTGTGTGTGTGTGTGTGTGTGTTTTAACTTTAGCTTTATTAGCGGGGCTAACAAAGCAGGCTAACAAGCCTAGCATACACGGGCCTGGTCGAGATTTCTAAACCCAGCCTGCTGGGTTTTTTCTGTCACACCCTTTCTGAGAGTGGAAATGTGTTTCAGTTACATCTTTTTGTCTGACCCCGACATCACAAAAAGTCCGTCTAACTTATTTTCGACACGGAACTAAACGCCACCTTCCCCGTGTCTTTTTCCTTCAGGGTGTGGCGTGTTTATAAAGATCTTGTAGTGGCATTTCCTTTTGTTTGACAAACCAAACATCCCACAATTAAAAGTCCACAAGCCACTGCTGCACCGAGATAATATTTCGTTCGCAGGCAAAAGAAGTCCACTGTCCAAACGAGGAAGTTGCGTTTTTATGGTTTATTTATCCAGTTTGGCAAGCAATAACAAGATCCATTTTTGTTACTTCCTGCTCTGGTAAAAAAAAAAAAACCATAGGCCCACCCCAGTGCATGCTGGTCCTGTACCAGTCTCTTTATTTATACAAACAAAACGGCCCTACAGCTCTTACTGACTAACAAGGTAACATCAAACAAACAAAACATTGAAACAAAATATTAACCTAGAAATAAACTTGTAAATAAACCCCAAAATATAAACAAACTGACAACAAATATGAATAATATTTCTTACAACTGGCTATGTTTGATCTTCATACAGTGACCAGTCATGGGAAAACCTTAACAGTGTAAGAGAGCAGATAACTGTAGCACATTGGCGTAGTGTGGTCACGTGATAGAGCGGCTGTGCGTATTTGTAGCTTTGCTACCAAACCAGCATTTCATCTCTGAGGAAGTTATCCCAGAGAGAAGTAAAGCAAGTGTGTAAGTTCATCTCTAAATGTTTGTAAAGCATTCCCGCGTTAAGCTTAACAAACGATATATGGAGCGACTGCTTCTTCTTGCTGCTACTTCAATCATGAAACTGATCAATGATCAGCTGATCGGCTTTTCTGTCGCGAGTCCGTCTCTCTTGTTTGTTTTGGCCCACTTCGTGCAAGAAAGAGGAAACCAGCGGCTGAACAACAGCAGCACGTTTAAGCTTGATAAGCTGTTGTTAGAATTTATTTAATATTACTTTCTACACCAGGATCCTTTTCTACGTAGCTGATGCTGGTAACTGCAGGGGCGGATCTAGCAAAGTTTAGCCAGGGGGGCCGATAGGGCATTAACAGGGAAAAGGGGGCACAAAGACATACTTTTCTTTCTTATTCTCATTTAAAATGTCGAGCTTTTAATAAATAATTATCTGAATCTTACACCCAAAGTTTTAATCTGATGTAAAATGTATAGAAGTCTATTACTGTATATAGTAACTGTTAAGTCTAATATACCCTAGTAAGCTATAGTACTTTTTCCTTTGGGAAGATACCATCTGTGCAGTCTGCAATTTTGTTGAAGAAAGATGTTGAATCTATTTAATTATTCTTGAAAAATAATTTATTTCTGTGCATTTTTTTTCCACACTGCATCAAATTAAAGTTGATTACGTCGATTAAGCATCATGAGGTGGAGGGTGGGGTGTGGTTCCCTATTTTTTTTTTTTTTTTTTTTTTTGTTGTTGCTGGAGTTTGCAACCCTATTAGTTAGGTTGCTTAATATTTCTGCTAAGTACTCTTTAAAATACCAGAATAGGGAGGATGGAGCAGGTTTAAGTTTATTAGATTGATCAGTATTGCTGAACTATGAAATATTTTGGGTGCAGTGCATTTTTTGCATACAGGTATAACAGAATAGCTTTAGTGTTGTTGTTTATTTTAACTTGAGTATGAACTTATACGAAATGCAGCAAGATATAAAAAAAAACAGTTTTGTTGATTAAAAAACACTATATCGGATTCATATCGGTATCGGCAGATATCCAAATTTATGGTATCGGTGTCGGACATTAAAAAGTGGTATCGTGCCATCTCTAGTTAGGTCACAAGTTGGCCTAATTTTGGTACATTATAACATTGTGTGCAAAATAGCATACCGCAAGGTACTTTGTATAGTACAGGAAATCTGTGGTCTACCAGTTCTAAAGCAAGGTTGAAATCTGCTCATGGTTATCACACTGTGCTTAAGCCGATTATTTCCTCAACATTGAGCTTTACATTTGTAATCCATATCTGTATGTCAGATTGAAGGTGTGTTTTAGCCTGATAAGTTGTTATCAGGCTGAAATTGTTTGTATCGTTATCATTTTCAGCACAGTTGATCTTTAAAGCTTCCAGACAGTCCCTGGAACGTGTGTGTGCATGTGTGGAGCTCTCAACCAATGTTTAACTTACAGAGGAGCTGATAGGATTTCATATTTATTCAAAGCTCCATTATTAGTTAAAATAAACGTGTATAGCAGGTTGTTTAAAGAAAGGTAATCAGAACCAAGATGGTGAAACTTGGAGAAGGTGTTTTGAGCACAGTTTACATGTGTTTCTTATGAAATGTGCATGTAAATCTCCCCCACATTTATGAAGTTACAAGAGGTGAGAATCACCGGACACCCCACCATATGATATTGTGATTTTTGTAATGTTTTGTGATACAGAACATTGTGATTTATCACCTTTTTTCAACTGCAAAGTGTTTTAATAATAATACAACAAAGTCCTCAGTCTTTCTGTCACTTCAGTCATTTTTGTTGCTGACAGGCTGAACTGTTTGTATTACATTTGAGTTTGACGTCCCTTGTTAAAAAAAAATCCTAAATGTGCACAGACATTTGCCTTAAACACAGATGGTGTTTTCCTGATTTCTTTCTCTGCCTCCATCCTTGTTTTCCCAACATTATCCCACATGCTGGCCATCACCTCTGCTGACCTCACTAAAGAAAAAACTCAACTGTAAAAGCAATTAATGTTGTTATTCTTGTACAAAAACAAATTATAACATGTACATGTATGTATATGTACAGTGATGTGTTGAGGAGGGTGAGAGTGGCTTTGTTTGTTTTTCCAGTACAATAAGGTTATTCATTGTAGAGTGACTCCTTCTTATGACAGACTTCAGTGACAATAACACAAGTGAGAAACCACAGAGCCGTCTGTTATCAGTCTGCAATTGAACTGTGATAAATGATTGAAAATCACATTTCTCTTGTTGTCTACATAGATATTCACATTTTTGCTCAGCAAACTTCCTGTTTTAGAGAAATATAACCAAAGTACAACCAGCTGATAGCCCGTTGAGTTGAGTCCCCTGGAGCTGTGCTCACTGACAAAGACACTTTCAGACTGATGGCAACATGTTGGTGATCTCTCTGCATTTATAAATGAGACACAATTATTATCAAACCGTGAAAGTCTCTGTGAGAGTGACTGTAGAAATATTACATCCTGTTATGTGATCTGTGACCAAAAGTGGTCGTTGAAGTATGTGAAAAAGATTCAGTGGCATCACCAGACAGCCACAGATTTTTTTTTCTTTTTAAAAAGAACATTTTGTGTGTGTGTGTGTGTCAAGTGTCCCTGTATCGATGAAACATCACTACTCCATCTGTGTTGTGATACTGTGCTGTATTGATTTTTTTTCCCCCCCTTACGGCAGGTGAAAGAAAGCATTCTAACACTGATATCTAGGGATGGGTATCGTTTAGGTTTTATCCGATACCGGTGCCAAATCGGTACTTTTGAAACGGTGCCGGTGCTCAAACGGTGCTCAAACCAGGTGCTTAAAGAATGGGAAACAAATTGGTCCAAAAACCTCTCATGTTCAGCTGGGTTTTTTGTAAAAGATAACAATGTTAGCCTTTTCTGCAGCTATGGGCATATATGGTATCACTCTTGGCTGGAAGCAGTGCTTAAACAATGGAAAAAACACAAACTTGTCCAAAAACCTCTCATGTTCAGCTGTTTTCCACTTTTTCTTTGGTCATTTTAGCCTTTTTGGCCAGGGTGAAGGGAGTATCTGCCATCAAACAAGAAGACAGCCGCATGTAGCTATGATGATGTTTGCTAGTTCACCTTACATGCATTAATGTAATAAGTGGTTAGCCTACTGAACGTAAATTACACAGAACAACATTAAGCTACTCACGCAGAGAAGAACGGCTGCTGCTGCATCAATATCCTCATCATTTCTGCTACACTGGCAGGGCTAGGGCCAGGACTCTCCTCTTCGTGTTTTTGGGGGATGTTGCATAACAGACAACCCACCCGCAGTAGATGTGCTCGTGTGAGGTCTCGCAGCCAAGCTATCAAATACGGCGCATTTCTGGGCTTTTAAAAGAACCCTATGCATCGCCAGGTGTTTCATCGGATTTGAGGTGTTACCTTCCTTTGACAGTATCACAGTATCAGCTTAAAGCACTTGTTGCTGCTGAGTTTGCATATTTTGCTGTGAAGTACAGCCAGACTTTTGACCGCTTCGCCTTGGGCATTTTTAATCTGTAGCTCTGCTCTAAAAGAACGTACGTACTGGCCCCGCGCCTACTTCCTCGGGAAACGTAAAATGATTGGCTAGAAGTGTATCACAGCTCAGGAAAAAAAGCACCGAAATAAAGCACCGAAATGTGCGCTGCTTTTCGGTCTGGTTACTACCGTTTATGTCAGAACCGGTACCCATCCCTAGTGATATCTTTAGTTTGTATGCACTTACACTTCAATCATTATGCAGGTCAAAGCTGATCTGCTGTCCTCGCTGCTCGTTTTCTGTGTTTATGTTTTGTTTTAAACTGAGCTCAGCTTAAGCTGGTTCACATGTCTGTGCTCCCTCTCTCCCTTTCTGCAGGTGACATAATGATGCTGCTCATCTTCATCACCAGCTGTATACATGATGGAGGCTGAGGATTGAGTGGATGATCAGGTGTGTTTCATTGGTGCAGTTTTCACAGCATCAGGTCCTGTTTGTGTTTGACTCTGAAAACCATCAAACTTCACAATCACATGTGTCTTTGCTGCAGGAGCTTCACTCTGAATCCTGACCTCCTTCTTCTGCTTCAGTGGTTTCTGACTTCATAATTTGGTCACCATGGCAACCATAGAGATGATTGAGGTCCCTGACTTTCTGAGGTCAGTCGTCACTGTTAATGTTTATATTTTGTTAGATTTGTTAGATTGTTAAAAGTTAGCAGGCTGTTACATCTGGTATCGTGTTTTGGTGTTTGTCCTCTAATATATCAGGTGGATGAAACCAATTGAAGAACTTTCCCCTCTTTAATAGAAAAGTTGGTCCAGCCCAAACAGCTGTTAAATCACAGTAACATTGATCAATATTTAGAGACAGATGAGTTATTTGTGCAGCACTTTTGCTGTAGATGAACTCAGTGTGCTGTGTATTCACTCTGTCCCAATTAAATTTTGATTAATAAACGTTGAGTAAATGCTGGAAAAAAATACAATATGAATCTTAATCTTCACTGTTGTACATAAATCAGTCAGCTCCATATTAGTATTGAAGTGTGGAATGAAATAGGCTGGTTACGTTAAATCATCCCAGGATGTGGGTTAAACGAGTCTCAGACTGAAGTCGATGAAGCAGAGATCAGGACCCTCATAATCTTTGAATGCATTTCCACAGGTCTATAAAATCAGGCATCCAGTCATGCAGTTACAAACCTTTGTGAAAAATGGCTCAGCTCACTGAATTCAAGTGTAGTGTTATAGCAGGATGCCACCACTGGAATAAGTTCAGAGAGCACAGGGGAAGAAGCTGTTTGTGAATGCAACGCCTCAGATGACGCTGCCAATGTTACAACAATTGCAGTGAATGATGAATATTTCAAGAAGCTCTATCAAGCCTGTTAGAGGAGGCATCTTAATCAAAATGTTCACATCCTCCTTTCTTGCAGTACACTTGTAAAACAAACACTGTAAACAGATAATACACCTGGCTTATCTATGCTGTGACACCTGCCATTATGAGTAAACTGTGTCTAAAGGAATATAACTTAATGAAGCGGGGAAGATAAACATCAGTGCTGCATTTATGCTGCCTCTCACACAGCGTGTCAATGCATCATGACAGATTCCAAGTGTCCTGCAACAGCAGGAAGCTCTTGCAGGAGCCTGCTTTAACATCAGCTACAAGGCCAGAACAAGTATTTCACGGGCATCAGAAAGTGGAGCATCAAAGGCGTCAAAGCGCCTGTTCAATTCCTCTACTCTTCATTGTTCCTGGCAGTCTGCATACAGTGGGGTATAAAAGCCATCCACGGCTCGCAAAATCGCTAGCCCAACCTCCCGGGGCTAGTGATTTTTTTTCTTTCTTTTTTTTTAGTCAGGCTACCAAAATCCGTCTTGGCCCTGCCCGTCAGGCTATCATAGGAAGGAAAAATATGTCAATGCTCGATTTCTGAGTCGACAAGTGCCTTTGTTACTGGGACCAGTAATTTTAAGAAAGACCCCATCAGAACCCATGAGAAATGCAAGAAAATGCCAACTACCATTGGCAAAATTTAGTAATCTTTGCAAACTTCAAAAAGCAAATGGCCTAGATCTTGGTTCCACTAGCCTCTTACCCGTGACTTCAGTGCAAATTTCAAATTCAGGATCTGACACAGACTGAGTCATGTTCTACACAGTTCTTAGGAGTTCATAGAAATTTCTGTTCAATTAGAACCAAGTATTTGAGTTGATGATTGTAATTTTTATAGAGTTGATGTAATTTGTGTTTTAACTATTTTTTGATTGGAGTTTTGTTTCCTTTACAATATTATACTTTAATGTATAAAATTGTAAAGGAAACAAAACATCAATCAAAAAATTGTCCCCTTTTTTTTCCGGCTACTTAAATTTATTTTGGGCTACCAAAACTGAAGAGTGCCTGCCCAAAGGGCTACCAGGGATTTTGAAATTTTGCGAGCCCTGCCATCCATGTATAGAAAGCCAGGGATTGTAAAAGAAACCAAAAGAGGACCGAGTGTTGTTCTTGTTCCTGAAGGTGGTTCTTTGTGCCTCTGATAGTGTGTTTGTGGTCTCGCTGCAGAATCACGCTGATGCTAAACATCAGGCTGTTAACTGCAGAGCATCAGGCCTTATCTGTGGATCCTCCCGACGGTTTCTCTCCCAACTCCTGGTAGGAGTTCATGGAGGACTTCAGCTTCTTGCAGCTGCTCCTGCTGATAGATGTCATTGCTGTCTTCTCCCTCTGCACTGGCTGCTACGTCTTCTTTGTTTCTGCTTTTCTCTTTGTCATGACTGTGAATCAGGCAGCTGTGCTGAAAATATGATTGTTCTCCTTATAATAAAAGCTGGAAGCTGGAAGTCCTGCCTGTGCTGAGACATTTTTTTCATGCATGATCTTCACAGAAATAAACAGCACAGGACAAAGGAAACTGTGGGTGATGTCATCTTTAGTTCATAGAAAAATATATAAAAATATTTGAGTTTATTATTTGCCACATTTATTTTAAGAGTCAATTAGTGTGGATCATCACATACATACTATTGAACCAAACAGCCCAAAATGTGTCATCATTAAAATGACCTTTGCAGGTGCTAATATCCACTCCCTGCACTGACTGTATACTGTTCACGCGGTCTTTATACCAGAAACTTCAGTCTGTATAAAGGTTGAATTGATTTAAACCTCACCACTGACCATGAGCAGCGTCTCCACTGTGCAACAGTGTAAAACGGTGCTTTACTGTAAATTCACCACAGTTTGCCAGACTAACCTGTAACTGCTTGTATTTGAATAACAAAGTATGCATACCTCAGTTTGTTTTGAAAACGTTTGGCGATATGAAAGAACACAACTTCCCATCATATCATCCAGTATCTGAATTTAAATAAAATGAGGATTTGCCAGGTAAGCTTTAAATTTCTAGTTAATCAAATACACTCAAAAAAATGAACTCAGCCTATCTCTGCTTTTACTAAAGTAGATTTTGTTGTTTGTTCTTAATAAACTCGATTTTGCAAAAATCCTTAAAGTGTTTGTGCAAATTTAATGAAATGTTGTTACTTTTTGTTGTTACACAAAGTCATTGAACTGTGTCAACGTAACATTGTTGAGTAAATTCACAGGTTTGTCCCTCTGCACATACTGCTGCGTTCAGAGCCCGCCTGAGTAAGGGCCAATGCGCACCACCCTCTTTCTCAAGCTTGCTTTTTCTTCGCCATGTGGACTGGTTCAGCCGCATTTTTGTCCAAAAATCAGGTAAGAAGTCATTTTTCTTGTAAAGCCCGTCTACATATATATGTTCACACGTCAGTTAATGTCGCAAGTGCTACTAAGAAAAGAGTACAGGCAGGGTTTTGCCCGGTAAAGGTTTGCTAACGTGGACTTGCTGCACGTGAGTTTCCAAATGATTTTGGAGGGGTCTCCATTGCAATAGCAAGCTCTGTTTTCAGCCCAAATGTAGTGTAGCGCTAGCGTCGGTATGAGTCGGTACGCGTCGGTACAGGCAGCGCATTCGGTCCGGCACGCACTTTCGCGCCAAGTTTATACTCGGACGCCTGACTGCGTTGCACTTTAGCCAACAACAGTGGAGAAGCGCTCCTCGCTAGCAGACAGGTTAGGGTGTATTTTCTGTCTAATATTTCAGCTTACGTTTTGATGTAGCTTGCAGAAAGCATTTAGTAAGCTGGTGTAAGATGAACTGCATTAATGTTGTACAATGTCCATGGATTTCTCACTCGACTTTTAATGTCAGATTACACACACATTTACACAATATGCAGTGGTGATGATGTAGATCAATAAATTCATTGTTGTAGCATACAATATTAAAAATAAAACTGATTAATATGAAACATTAACAATGTGCAAATTATTTAGTTTTTTCAGGGACAGTGTAATGAAAATGTCTTTTGTGCTTCTCCCCCAGATACGTTGATGTGGCAGTGCAAATTGTGCAAAAAAGTGGTGTCATCACGAGCTCTGTTATTAAAACACTACAGGTTAGTTCATAGTAGACAGCAGTATCCATGTGCCTATTCTGATTGTGTCTGTGTTTTCAAAACATGGAATGCTCTACATAGCCACTTAAGCAGATCACATACCCAAAGAACTCTAGACAAGTCTGTGAGTTTGGCAACATTAACTGCCATTTGTGTTCCTGCTGCAACATAGCTTCGGAGCAGGAGTATTTTTCTCACATTAACAACCATCTAAAATGTAACGAGACTGTGCATTGCATGTTTGAGGGTTGTTCTTTCAAAACAAATATCTATGGTACATTCAAGTCTCATCGAAATAGGAAACACAATCCTTATACCTTAAAAGACTTTAAATCGGTATTGCTAACACTATTGTAGGCCAAACATCAGCTGATGACAGTACAGACACTATTGTAGAAGAGGACATAAGTGCAAATATTGATCACGATACAACTACAAGTGAGACTGAAGATTTGGCAAATGTAATAGAACTTAATTTTGCATCTCTTTTACTTAAGTTGGAAAACTATTTTCATGTTCCCAGCATAGCAATTGACGAGTTGCTTTCAGATTGCACTACCTGATAAGCTGTGCATCAGTGCCTTTGACAAATCAAGTAATTGTAGACATACTCAAGAATCATAACCTTTGTCTAGACCAGCCTGTTATTGAAGAACTGACAAAGGCAGTTTCTTTTAACCCTTTGTTAAAAGCCATAGAAAAGGACGGCACACTTGCCACTGCCTTCAAACGCAGACAGTATTACAGAAAACATTTTGAAGTAATTGATCCAATTGAATACATTCTCGACTCCCAAAGCAAGAGGACCTTTCAGTATATTCCTATTCTAAAATCATTACAGCAGATATTTAAACAAGAAAACATACTGAACAAATTTGTCACAGAATCCAGGTCATCAAGCTCCTCGAGCTCAGCAAACTCCACGCTGCGATCAGAAGCCTGGCCACTGGACTTTCGCATACCTGAGTTTAGCTTCGATGTAGAGCTGCAATTGACAAAAGGCAACCAGGAATTCCAAGCCAATGGAACACTTTTAACCCTAAAACCAAAGCTCAAGTCTGACATTTTAGAGAGCTTGTCTTCAGAAATTATGAAGTACAAAGCTTACCCTTCAGACAGCAATCTTAGTGATGTTTGCCAAGCTTTGGTTGTAAAGCATCCATGCTTGAAAGAGAAGGGTTCAGAAACTGGATTTTCTGCATGGAAGATCAGTTTGAAGTATAAAATGTCAAACTATCGTGGAAAACTGAAGAACTTAGGGTGTAGTGAGTTGGTCATCAATTCTCTCAAAAGAAGAGGGAACAGTAATGTGCATCCCAACCAAGTCAAGAAACCCAGGAGAGCAGAGGTGAATTTCTGCCCTGATTATCCAGCTGGAGAAACCCGAGAGAGTCAGGAAGAAGAAAGGTTGGTGCTGCTTTCAGAGTTCAAGAAGAAGAACAACAATGAAACCATCAAAGCAAAAATGGCCCAAACCTTTCCTCACCGGAGGCAAGAAATTCTTCAGGACATGCCCTTCGTAGCTGACTTTAAAAGCCGATGGCCAGCTCTTTTTTCTCCACGTGAGGTAACTGAATCAGTTGATCTGCAAATGCACTCCACATGCAATATTTTAAACCCATCACGCTAAACATTTGTTTATTTTACAGATAAATGCTGAATTCCAGCGCATCACTACGATCCCGCTAACATCCACATTTATGGCACAGCTGGACAACAACACAACCAAACTGACCAAAGTCTTCAGAAACAAGGGAGGAACATCTGGACGCAAGATCACAGAAATCATGGCTGCAATTGATGAGGTTTGGAATTAATTTTTTTCAATGCTTCATTCCCTCTTTAATACATATGATTTTGTTGTCTCCTTCTATTGTAAGGTAAAGTTTAATGTTGGTATTATGGGATTGTTTATTCTTTGTCCTTTTCATGATAGTGTTGTCACAGTAATAAAGTTTTAAGTTGATTTGGATACTTTATAAAAAAAAATTGCCAGAATTAAAAGCTGTTTTTACAGGACAGTAGCGTTTCCAAAACGGGATTTGCCGCGGCTCCCTGGGGAGAATTTTGGCATTTACAGTAGAAAAGCTGAAGCTAGAATAAACTGCCATCAGGCACCTTTCAAACCAAGACGGGATAAAGGGAGGTCTCTGAGCTTAGTACTACAACTGTTTTTTCATTTGTCCTTGCAAAACCTCCTGTTCAAGTCCTCCAAACACACCCACGTCACCCCGCTTCTCTTCCAGCGTCACTGGCTGCTGGTCAACTTCAAGGTTCATTTCAAGATCCTGGTTCTGGTCCTTAGGGCTTACATGGACAAGCACCATCATACAATGGAGATCTTCTCAGTCCCAACACCCCCAGCAGGTCCTGAGGTCCAGTGATCAAAGCCTGGTAGTGCACAACAGTCTAAAGACCAAAAGTGACAGATCATTGCTGCTGTGGCCCCCAAACTCTGGAACTCTCCTCCTAAGCCTTAGATCAGTGGACTCAGTGGTTTACTTTTAAAAAAAAATCCTCTGTTCAGGCTGGCTTTGGTGTGACCTCTTGTTCATCCTCTTCCTCACTGGATTCTTCATGCTGCTGTTTTTGGTCGGGTTTCTGTTTTTTTTGGGATCCTGTGGTTACCTTTTTTTGCTCGTCACATTTTTTCAAATGATAATGTTCCTTCTTTCCTTAATTTTTTTTATTTTAAATTTTGTTGTTCTTCTGTAGTGTGTCATGGACTTTTTTTCTCAAAGCATTATATACATTTATTTTGCTGAAGTTAACTGAAAATGTCTTTAAAGTTTAGCTAAGTAAAATTTGCTTTTATGTTTTACAGAACGACACAGTTGCAATGAGAAGAGTGTGTACGCTGAAAGGACTTGCAGTCTACCTCAATGAAGATCCGAACAGCTTGATCAAAGAATATCAGGCAAGTAATCAAATAGAAACAATTTCCAGTAATAAAAATTTAACTGACGGTAATTTTTCCTCACACACATTCATTAGATTATAACAAAAAGTTAAAATTAGAACATTATTGGAGATATAAAAGCACAAGCTTATGCGGGAGTGACCCTTGCCATTACAGTTGGGGTGTAATGTGGGCTGAGTGGACTGTCTTTCTGCCTTGTCTTTCTGCCGTGTAATCTGGATGATGGACCAACACCTCTCATCTCGCTCTGAGCTGTCTACTGTTTTGCAGCTTAAAGGGATATTCCACCCCAAAGTGAAAATTGGTCTATTACCATATTACCCAGAGTAAGATAAGTGAGAAAAAATAATTTTGTAACCAGTGCAATAATTCTCCTGATCCGGCAGCAGTCTATTTGCTTTTGCCTAGCATTTAAAAAATGGAGTGAATGGGAACTATAAGCATTTTGGTTGCAAATGACTCTTTAATGGTACGAATTATTCCTGGTGAGCTCAATAATCATGTCGACTTTAAATGAAAAGTAATAAGTAACTTGAAGGATTTGGAGGAGTAGATTTAGACTTGGGAATACATTATGGTTACCACATACAACACTGTAAGCCGCCGCTGCATGGTGCATGGATATTCGAATATGTGTTTATTTATGGAAACCAGAGGCTTTTTCAACCACTGTTGTTGTATCCAAGTGCTATGCCATGGCGGGTTACAGGGTGCTTTGGCGTAACCGTAATGTAGGCCCAAGTCTAAATCTCCTCCTCCTGCAAATCCGTCGTGTTACTTTTTACTTTTCATTTGCAGTCGACATGATTATTGAGCTCACCAGGAACAATGGGTATAAGATCAGAAATGTACTGTGCTGGTTACAAAATGCTTTTTTCTCACTTATCTAACTCTTGGCAATTTATGGTAATAGACAAATTTCCACTTTGGGTGGAATATCCCTTTAATTGATATGAAACCCTGCAACTTGTATTATTATGTTTATTTACTTATTAATTTTTTTAGGATGTGGACTTCCATGAGGCCGAAAGTGAAATGGAGAAGACGCTCATTGGCATCTACGTCATCAAACCAGAAGGAGAGCGTGACCTTGACCCGGCAGAAGACATTGGTATCATAATTGAGGGTGTCGCTGTGCTCAGAGATCTTCCTGATGTTGCCACTGCTGTTGTGTTGTTGTTCGGCCTGATCTACACTTTAAACATGAGCTACCCATCCAACCTCAGGTACACTTTTGAGTTTTTTCAGAAAGTACTGATGGACTTGATGCTAAGAAGCTATCAAACAAAGTTCAAGTGCTCAGAAACAAACTCCTTGAATAAAGAGGAGGAAGCGGGAGGCCCTTATTGCTTAACTTAGTTTGAATGCTTTACGTTCAGGTATAGTTAAGTTGTTCATAAACACTTTTTTTCATTGTCAGTACTGTTTCTTGGGAACATTCACCAGTTTTAGAGAACAATAATGTTCATTTGCATTTTAGCAAAATACTGTTACTTAAAAAATTGGTGTTGCACTTCTTCTACTGCTACTTGACAACATACAGAAAATGACAGACATTTTTAAAAGTTTTAGCGGTTAGGCCGCTGTGATTTGATATTTCAAAGAATGTGACATTTGGCAGCTGTCTGCAACTTGGGATGTAACCATAACTTGAAAAACTGAGTAGCACTGTTTTACAGTACAGTTTTTGAACAAAACAGCCAATTTTCACTGTTTTAAATGAGTTTAGTTTGCTCTTTCATGCTTATCAGTGTTTGAAAATAATTCCTGAAACGTCCTGTAAAATGTAGGATTTTTTTTTGATAATTTGGATGCTTTCTGGACCAGTTGAAAGACAAGTTGGTTAGCACTTCACTGATCTTTGAAGTAAAATATTGTTTTATTCACAAAGTATTTAGTTAAAGTTGTAACAAGTTGTCTGCATTGATTGCACTTTGTGTTAAGCTACGGCTCTACAGTCTTTTCGGTCTGTCAACAAGTATTTAATATGCACTGAATGTGCTTAGTAAAGACAGGACTTTGTTGGATCATTTTTTTTTAATCATTTTAGTTTGACGACAAGTTGGTTAGCACTTTATACTGATCTACATTTTCTGCACAAAATATTCACTTGGAATTTGTAACAAGTTGCATTGATTGCACTTTGTGTTAAGCTGTTGTGCTTGGAAAAAAGTATTTTATATGCACTGAATGTGCTTATTAAAGGCAGGATTGTGTTTGATAATTTGGGTGCTGTCTTCATTTCTTCCTAAAAGATCTCCCTAAGATTTACTTAAAAATGTTATGTCAAGTGGTTCCACATAACTGCTTTAAGTAACTTTTAAGAAACTTTGCTATTTTGTATGGAAGTAACCAGTGTAAATGATTTATTTGTAATTGTATTGAATAGAAATTACTTAACAATTTTATATAATTCAAAAGTAACAAAGTTATGTAGCAGCTACATAACAGTTTTACAAAGATACTACCTAACCAGGTTATGTCCTTCTAAAGCAGAAAAGTTATGTACCAGCTAAGTAACAGTATTACAAAGATATTGCCTAAACAAGTTATGTAGGCTTAAAGCAACAAAGATAAGTATCAGCTAAGCATTGCAATTAAGTTACATTTAGCCAATACACTTACGTAAATCTAACTTAACAGTATTGAGTTCAAACTAAGTAACAACATTTCTTAAAAGTTACTTAAAGCAGTTGTGTGGAACCACTTGACATAACTTTTTTAAGTAAATCTAATGTTTTATTTTTTGAGTGTACTCCTGAGCAGTGCTCATCTAAATAACCTCTGTTCTCCTGTCCTTGTCTAGTCTGAGTGAAGTTCTCTCGCACTCTTTTCTCAATTTGTCGGTGTTTGTTGAGCTGATAGAAACTTCTCATTTAAAATGAGCTGTCCTTTAGAAAGAGTTACTCCCGTTATGCTCGCTCCTTTTCTGTAGCGCTGCTAAATGCTATAAAGTACCGAGGCCATGACTCGTGGAAATGTGTTGGAAAAGCCCCTGTGGATTGTCTTTTCTGTGTTTTTATTTCCTCTGTTAGACTCATACCGGTTTAATGCCACGAAGTATCAGGACACATATTGTTAAACACAATACAGATACTTGTGTTAAAATGCGGGGAATCAAATAAAATCAAATTATAGACACCGGAACTTTAAACTGAAGTACAGTATACATGCGTAAGGGTAGAATTTTGTATTACATGAACTTATTTTGGCACGGTGGTTAGCACTGTTGCCGCACAGCAAGAAGGTCCTGAGTTCAATTCCACCATCAGGCCGGGGTCTTTCTGTGTGGAGTTTGCATGTTCTCCCCGTGTTTGCGTGGGTTCCCTCCGGGTACTCCGGCTTCCTCCCACTGACCAAAGACATACACTTAGTGGGGATAGGTTAATTGGATAATCCAAATTGCCCATAGGTGTGAACGTGAGTGCGAATGGTTGTCTGTCCCTGTGTGTTGGCCCTGCGACAGACTGGCGACCTGTCCAGGGTGTACCCCGCCTCTCGCCCTACGACAGCTGGGATAGGCTCCAGCGCCCCTGAAAAGGATAAGCGGAAGAGAATGGATGGATGGATGAACTTATTTCAAGCTGCAGCAGTAATCGGATTTCCTGCAGAGAGGAAAGGAGGCCGAGGTTTCTCCCGTGGGCCACACGCAGGCCTCAAACAAGAAGCTGTAACACGAACGTAACTTGTACCTAAAACATGATTTGGGCGATATTAATGCTCACTGTGATCTTTGAAACTTTGGATAATAGCGTTAACTCAAATGTGTCCCAGATAAAAAATAATTCAAATTATTTTTTTTAATTTAAAAAACGTTTGATGTGATTAAGTTTTTCGTGTTTAATTCTTATTTGTAGGGAGGCTCCATGATAGAGCACTGCGGGACTAACAGTGTTAACAGAAGGACTGCAGGTAGACTGAAGAATATTTATCATGAAATATTATAACTAATAAGTAATTATTAATTATTATTCATTACTCAGACACCCATTAAATATTTTATTTAGTTACGAACTCTGTATAAATACACATGCAGTTGGATGAAATGTAAAATAAAAGGATTAACAGAATTTTTCAGAAATGCTTGAAGATTAAATGAACGAAATAAAATGCATATTAATAAGAATTTCCTTTCCTGCATCCTCAAACACATTCAGAGATATTTTTGACGCTTAAAATATGCACATACCAGAAATATATTTAACCGCTGGCAGCAACTGATGAGCGAGGGAGCAGGAAGGTCCCGCATCTGCGTGCCTTATTCTTATTCTTATTAACTACCGCCAACTAACTTCAAACCTTCTCCACTTTACTGACAACTGGGCAGCAGAAAACCGATCGGTGCCTATGCCATTCCCAAAATGCGCTGGCATGATGTCGGGGCAGCATGAGTACGAGCAATTTTTTTTTATTTTATTTTTGCCGATGCCCGTGATGCCACCCCAGGCAACCGCCTGTGTCGCCCGTATCAAAAACCGCTACTGGACATGTAAATAATAAAATTATTTTACACAAGACACACTTGTTGGCGGTAGTCAAGGGAATACGGCACGGCAGTGTCGCATTTTCTCCCTCTTTCACGGTGACATTGAAGGGAACCAGAACTTTAACCTGGATGCGCATCTCCCGGCTGCCGCATCTTAGCACAAAACCACTGTCATTGTAAAATATGCGCATCCAGGAAGAGCTTTGAAGGACCCGGTTTGGGTAGCCCCGGGCGGGTGTCCACACACCGCGCTGGTGGACGGCCACGTCCACCTCCCCATGGGGCTCAGCCCGGAGCAGTTTTCCTTCTTCGTCGTTCTTACAGTTTTGTGGAAACGTGAAGGAGTTTCCTAAAACAGGCTGGACATCTGCAGACAAACAGGTAGATACAGTGAAGACGAGCAGCAGGGTTAACATCTCTGCTTCACACTGAACGCCGGGCAAAAAGACAAGTGCTTCAAGAGTCCCCCACACCTACACCGCCCCTCGTACGGTCTTTGACACTCCCTATTAGAGTCATTTGACTATGCCTGCCCACTTTAAGAGGAGAGGGCTGTGTAGCAGCCCAAAGTGCCATTTTCTTGAAGTTTTCTTTCTTTCTTTTTTTGTTTTATGCCTGTGCCCGTCAACAATAACATTTGAGTATTAATCGCAATTTTGCTAAATGAAAGGATCTGACTTTCATCACTCGCATCCATGTGAATGATGGGGCAGAGCGCGCTGACGTGCCGTTTAATTATGATAGTAAAAAAACAGGTTATATTAGATTTATATTTCAAATGTGGAAAAATGCTGATTTTACAAGAGCAAAATGATTGTATCTCTAAACTTTAAACATTGAATAAGCTTTCTGCCTGCACAAAGTGAATAGTCAAACAAAGTGAATCATCACAAATACATTATTTGATATTCATTACCTTGTTTTTCCATTTTAATTACTTTATTATTATAGCAGTAACAATAATTAAGGGGAGGATTCTGGATCAGCACCATGATGTAAACTTGTGGCCATAGTATATACATGAGAGTTTTCAGTTTAGACGTCTCTGCTGAAAAACAGGGCGGCACATGTACAGACAGACTGGTGTGGACACTCTTCTTCAGTGGGGTGGGGGTGTTTGTGGCTAATTGAATTTGGCCCTTAATACCGGTATTTGCAGAGGTAGTTAATATTTATTGCTTTATATACTGCTTTGCCCTCGTCTGTTCTGAAGTCTACACTATTTACATTTTTAATGCTGTAACTGCCCACATCATTATTTCCATCCTTCATTTTTTTCTCTGCTTTTTTTGGCTTTAAACATAGGGAGGGACTCAATATTGTGGTGCACACCACTCGGCTGAAAGCTCGGAAGCACTAAAGTTTCTACGCCCCACGTGTCTCATGTTGAAATGAAGAGCACTTAATTATCAGCCTCCTTTTAATCAGACATGTCTGATGGTGAACACAAGCCTCCAGCAGCCAGCTGTCTGAGCTGAGGAAACAAAAGGCACACTTACAGTCTAAGCTTTGGTTTCCCCCTAATGTTAGAGTTAGCCTCACTGCTACAGTCTCATGTTGCTGTCACAAGGAAGCCACAGGGATCCTGCACTCACTCTTCATAGAAAGTGACTGTGATATGTTAGTGGTTTGAGTTTTCATAATGAGCTCCTTGAAAGTTGTCAGTCTGTTTCACTGTGGTGAGACTTACCATAGTCCTACTCAGACCCAAGCACCCTGCTTTAAATGTGTGTGGTTGTCTGTGCTGGTCGGCCTGCAGGTGTTTCTCTGTATTTGACTAAGTGGTTTGTGTTTGTTCTCTGTTACAGCAACCATGATGGATGCTCTGATGCTGGTGGAGAGACGTGAGGTCAGCCAGGATTCACCTTCAGAGAGGGCTGAAGGGGCTGGACAGTGGGAGGTGAGCAGAGCTGGAAGGATGATGGCCTGTGTGGTTGGGTGGAGGACAGACGATACAGTCAGATTCAATATAAAGCAGGTGGAGCTTTGACAGCAACCACACAGACCCAGGGAAATAATCTCTGGATGAATTAAATGAGACTTTAACTTGTTTTAGTCACATTTGTGATCACTGTGGGGTTTCTGTCTTATTGTTGAACAAGGCTGTTTTCTTCATTGTGTGTAGTTGAATGTGTGCGGTTGACAGTTTCCAGTTGTGCACAGGCTCCTTGGACTGTGTGATTTTACTTTGAATTGTGTACTGTGTATGTGGGAGAATACCTTTAAGGCTTATGTTGAAGAGTGAATCTGTTTCAGTGCAGCTGGTGTACTTTCTTCCTCCTTCTTGTTGTCACACTCAGACTTTTAACGTCCTTGATCTTTGCATTAAATCAGCTGGTCCTGATAATCTGCTCCTGCCTTCCAGTGAGAGAGGCGATCAGGTGACCAGATGTTGTCTTGCAGGTGTCGACTGCATTTCTGTGAGAGCGGAAATGTTACATCATCACCTACAGTTGGACCAATTGTGGTTGATTAAAAACTAGAAAAGGTAGAAAGCCACTGCTGGTTTCAATTTCACAGCGCCTGTGATGCTCACCGCTTTGGTATTTAAAGTGACATTTGCCAAAACTCTAGCTGACTGTAATTGAGACCCCACTCAAACACATTCTTCAGTGTGTGTGTGAGAGAGAGAGAAAGGAGGATGGTGCCATTGAGTAGTGTTTTTATTTCTCTAAGTAGTTTCATTCATGTACCACATTAACCACAGCACCAGCTGTTTACACAGTCATTTATTGGTCTGTTAAAGCCTGCTGAGGGGAAACTGTAGAGCAGAGAGGGCCACAAACAGCCCACTTTGGTCTCAAGTGGGTTAAATCACTGCAACTCTCTGTCAGTGTGAAATGTTTAACTACAGCACCATCCTATCATTACTTGTTTTTTCTTCAGCACACATACAGTAACAGGATAAAACGACTTCCTGCCAAAGTGTGATCCCCCCCATCTGACAGGCAGCAGCAGCAGCAGCAGCAGGCGATGTACTTTCAGTCATGCTATTGTTACTCTTACCAAAGAGCTGATATATTATGGTCACACTTCTCTCTGTGTAACAGCACAGTTCAGCACAAATGCACACCAACAAACAAACAAAACTTAATAAAACACACAAAAAACAGTCACAGTATGCTCACATTTAATAATCTGACAGTCAGAAATATATATGCTCCTCCTGTTTTCTCTCATATGATGATGATTCCATCATGAGGCACGTTAGCCGAGTAAACTCACATTAAATCATCTCAACACAAGTGCCATGGAGCACTGGACACACTCAGTTTGATAGACCTGCCTCCTAATTCATAACAAATCACAACAACAGCTGCTTCAAGGCACTTTATCTTGCAGAGCAAAGACCTACAATAATCACAGACTGATATCATATTGACTGTCTCGTGGCAGCAATTATGTCAGGATTTGTTGACAGTGTTGGTGTGTTTGATCGTCTCATTTAGGTGCAAAAATAGTTGATCTGACTGGATGAAACCGATGTTGACAAAGTTTAACTTTGAGGACATAATTTGCAGAAACAAAGTGATAAATCACAGTGTTTTTTATTGCAATACTCAGAATATCGCAAAATGTTTCAAAAATGCAACAATATACTATCATGAGTGAAGTATGGTGATAGGATCCCGTCGTGTGCTGTCTGGTGATTCCTGCCTCTAGACTTTGATCTTTGCTGATCGGCAACATTAACGTCCATCAGCACAGCGTTTCCCACTGAGAGCTGAGCTGTGGACTGGCTGCACCTTGTTGACAGGCTGAGTGACACTTGGAGAGATGTGGACTGACCTCGGTCTCAGGAGCTCAATTCTGCACGAGGGCACTGAGCCTCAGCAGGCAGACAGACTCCCTGACATTTATTAACTGTACTTACTGCACGGGTGCTTAGATTTGCACAGGGAATGACAGCTGCAAACAACTTCAGACCCTTGAGCTGTTCTCAGGAAGTTAGGACTGAAATAATCTCTGTTGTTGTTTGTTTGATGATCTTAGTGCTGACTTATCTTTTCAGCTTGTTTAACTGAGTCTTAATGTTAATGCTCTGTGTGTGTGTGTGTGTGTGTGTGTGTGTGTGTGTGTGTGTGTGTGTGTGTGTGTGTGTGTGTGTGTGTGTGTGTGTGTGTGTGTGTGTGTGTGTGTGTGAGACAGTGTGATGCAGAGCTGCTCCTTACTGAACTGGACCCTGCAGAGCACTGAGGGCGTCCTGTCCAGCATCAGGACCAACTGGCAGGAGTTTATGGAGGACGATGGCTTCTGGAGGGTCCTGCTGCTGCTGCTGATGGTGGTCATCGCCCTCCTCTCCCTGGGCATCGCATACTACATCAGCAGAGTCCTGCCTTTCTCAGGGTGGAGAGGAGGCAGGAAAATAAACAAAGATCTCTATGTAGAACAAAAACTCTGGTGTTTATTTCTTGTGCAAATCTGATCATTTTATTGGAATCTGAACAACATCATGTGACGCTGTCAGCACAAAGAAGAGAGGACGGTGACTCAGAGACACCGACAGCTTCATGTGTGGCCTAACACCTTTACAACCACGCATTGATAAAGTCACTTTTACATCCCTGTTTGCTCTGTTACAAGCTGTATATTGCTGATGTTTTGTATCTTTTCATTGTTTTCTCCTCACTTGTTATTTATTCAAATGTCTTTGGTGTGAATTTTTCCCTCGCTGTCCTTATTTCACACAAATACCTGCAGCCTTTCTGGCTGGAAACAGTTTTGTCAGGATAACAGAGCCGACTGCAGAGAAACACCTGGGCTGAGTTTAGATGAAGCTTCAGGTTTAACTGGGATTATGGCAGCAGATTAATGCTTCTTACTTTGTTGTATATTCATTTTATCTTAATGTGCTTTTGTTAAAGGTTTTCAGTGTTTATTCCATCAAACATTTGAAGTCATTTAATGTGCAAAATGAATAAAATCATGACTGTAATCTGCATCAGGTTAGAGCGTCACTTTGTTACCAACTCAAAACTTTATTGGCACACAGCAGCTAACCTGAGCTTTTTACAAAGCGCAAAGAAAACAGGAAAGACTGCAAATCTGTAGAAACAGGCAGGATTAGTATACACTGAACAAAAATATAAACGCAACACTATTGTTTTTGCTCCCATTCTCCATGGGATGGACGTAGAGACCTAAAATTCATTCCGGATACACAATATAACCATCCCTCCCAAACAGTGGTCACAAATCAGTCCAAATGTGTGGTAGTGGGCACATCTGCCATATTGATATAATCCATCCCACCTCACAGGTGTGCCACATCAGGATGCTGATCTGACATCATGAGTAGTGCACAGGTGTACCTCAGACTGCCCACAACAAAAGGCCACCCTGGAATGTGCAGTTTTGTCTCACAGCAAAATGCCACAGATGCCACAAGCAATGAGGGAGCGTGCAATTGGCATGCTGACAGCAGGAATGTCAACCAGATCTGTCGCCCGTGCATTGAATGTTCATTTCTCAACCATAAGCCGTCTCCACAGGCGTTTCAGAGAATATGGCAGCACATCCAACCGGCCTCACAGCCGCAGACCTCGTGTAACCACACCAGCCCAGGACCTCCACATCCAGCAGGTTCACCTCCAAGTAAGTGTCAGTGTGCGCAGTACAGCTCCTGTAGTTACATGATGGAGGAATACTGCAGCAGTAATGAAAGAACATGTCTGTACTAATGTATAAACAATTAAAAAGTTATAGTAGTGATTACAATTACAAGAGAGTAACTCATGTTATTTCACCCAAAACGTCTTTTTATTTTAGGTTTCTTTTTTTTTTCCAGCGTCAAAAAATAAGAAATCAGAATATAGCATTTAAAAAAAAAACTTTTCTTTGCTTGAAGTGTTAATTTGTTTATCTATTACTTAACATGGGGAAAACTATTAAAGTGAAAATACACTATAAATTCAGAAAGTCATGTGCCCCCCCCCAAAAAAATGAAAAAATAAAATAAAATAAAATAAAAAAATTTTGACCAAAAAATAAAAAAAGAATGTGATGCTAACACCGTGATTTTATAGTGAGGAAGAGGAGTTATTCGGCATGAGATTAAAAAAACGTCAGCAGCTGAAAATTAACGCTCCCCGTTTAATCACAACAGCACAACAGCACCTCTCGCTGGCCTGTACAAATCATTTTACTTGGCTCAACCCGAGGCCTTTCAGGCCTTTAACTCCAAACAGTTCATTTGGCTATTTTAAATGTTTTTACGTAGTTTGTGCTGCAGTAAAAGTGGAAAGTGTATGTTTCAGTTTTTAATGTGTGTATCGCACATGTCTAGCGTTCATTTTATTGTTTAGGGGAATACCTTTAGTAATGAATGACACCGACACAAAGGTTATTTTATTTTATTTTATTTTATTTTATTTTTTGTGTGTCCCGTTTGGCTCTTTAGCCATCAGAATTGTTGTCTTAAGGCCAAGAAAGATGCCAAGCGGATTTATTTTACCAAGTGGATCATCATGGCCTCGCCATATTGGTCCATTTGATTGACCTTTATTATAATTATGAATTTATTTTATTTTCAGTTGCTACAAACGGGACAGACATAACTGGGGGATAGGACAGGGAGAAAGAATGAAAGAAAGAGGGAGAGAAAGAAAACCAAAGGGGAGAAGAGACGGTGAGAAGGGGGGGAAGAGAGAAAAACAAACAAAAAAAACAAAACAAAACACCTGGATCACCTGTATGGAGAAAAAAAACAGAAGAGAAAGCAAACAACAAAGAGCAACATAATAAAAAAAACACGGCACCATCACAATAAACTAGCTAGCAGTAGATATCAATAGTTACTAAATAATAAACAATATTGTGCAGCACCCAAGATAGACAGCGCACAATGTGCTTTGAGGCAGCAGCCAAGAAAGCTGTAGTCCGCGTCTGTGAATACCCGTGTGTACACCTGTGTGCATACCTGTGTGGATCAGCATGCTTGCATTCCAAAGGTTTCTCCATGTAATAATCTGCTAGGGAGTGTGGGGGGCCACAGCCCCGTCCTCCAGGGCATGAAGCAGGTATGGAGGAGATCAAAACTCCAGACATCCAGAGGCCCCCAGAACACAAGAGACCAAGGAAGACCAACAGAGGGGCAGCCGCGCCACTGTCCCAGTAAGAGCTGAGGAGAGTCCCAGATGAGGGCTCACTCAGCAGCCGCGGAGCAGAAGCCAGGGGGAGTTGCAGTGACGCGCCCGTGAGCTCCGCCGGCAGCCAGCTGTGCCTGAGTGACCGAGCCCCAGGCCGAGAGGCCGGGGGCACCCCACCTCCGAAGTGGCCCGAGCGAGCCCCAGGCTCCAGGCCCCGATAAGCGGCCGCCAAGGAGTGAGCCGGTGTGTACCTGGACGCCCACCCCCAGACACAAAGAACCACCAACGCACCGATGTCTGAGGGAGTCCGCCACTGGCAGGGGAAGTGGTGGTGGGTGGAGATAGGCCTCCAAACCTTGGAGGGCCTGAGATGTCCCCAGAGAGGTGGCGTCTGATACCCAACCTGACATATAGACACAGACATACAGGCACACACAGACACAAACATCCATTCCCACCCTCATGCTCTCATATGCACTTACTCCACACTCAACCAACGTGGAGACAGACATAAAGAGACGCTGTACACACGATCACACTCCCCAAGCGTACTCTACAAACCGGGTCTAGGTACCCTTGCCCCTGGAGGGGGGAACTGCACCCAGACCCAGGTGGTGTTACCCTTTTCCCTGCGGTGGGGGGAGGCAGACCGCCCCGACTCCGCAGCAGCAGGGAGGCCCCACACCCCAGACCGCAGTCGGACGGCCAACTCCTCCTCCTAGCCCCCCCGCTCCAGCAGGCCGCAGAGAACGGGGGTGAGAGAAGACTCCAAACCTCCCTCCACCCGCTCATTGTAATGTTGATGCATGTGTGTTCTAAGGTGCAATTAAAACCCAGGAGGGCATGGAGCTACCTGCCAGAGAGCAGCAGGTAAGCGCATGGTCCCTCCTGCTAGCCCTCAATGTCTACGTGTATTTAAAATTGAGAGGTGGGCAACGACGCCAGGGGTGAGGTGTACACCCTGATGGTACTTTGGACTCTGTGTAGCGTGCCCACCCCCAAGATCCTATATGTATGTGTAATGAGAGTGTGAGTAATGTGAATGTCTAAGTTGTGGGATAAAATTGAGGCAGAGGCAGCCAGAAGGGGACAGAGGGGGGGATAGCCTCCTCTTCACCCTGGTGACATACCCCTACTCCAAGGCCCTGCATGTGTGGGTGGTTGTGGTGGAGCAGGAAGAGGGAGGCAGCTGGAGATGGGGAGGGAAGGAAGGGAGGGGCAGGTGACCCCTCCCTGGGGCCAGCTCCCCCGCTGACCCCAGTAGGCACTCCCATACTCCGCGACCCGCCAGGGAAAGGAGGCCCAGGCCCATCCAGACCGGGGCCCAGTGCAGCAGCACCCCCCGGCCCCACAGAGCCCGGGACAGTCCACCCAACCCCACCACAGAGAAAACTGCACCCACCCCCCCATCCACTCATCTTCCAGACTACATGAGACGATAGACGCCCAGGCTGAGATCTTCCTCCACCTCTCCTGTATCTCCCCCTCCTGCAGAGGGAGCTCCTGAGGAGAGGAAAGCTCCTGCAAGGTGTGACAATCTCCCCCACCAGTTGAAGAGCCCCCCAGGTGGCTCGACACACCGGCGGCATCATGCACCAGGGATGGGCCCCCATGCACCCACCCGTCACAACCCCGGCAACACACAAACCAGGACCCAAGGCCCCGAGGCCCGACCAGGGCCCCAGCCCAGAGACGGAGCGCCCCCAGAACCTCACGCCCATCCCGGACCCACCCAGCTGCAGCCAGGCTACCAGGTCAGTAACCCACGTCCGTCAGCACAGACCCTCCCCTAGCCCCGCTGCACGCAGCCACGAGGAAACAGTCAGAAAAGAGCCCACGGGCTCAAATTCAGAAACTCATGTGCCCCCCCCCCCCCCCCCCAAAAAAAAAAAAAAAAAAAAAAAAATAAAATAAAAAAATTTTGACCAAAAAAATAAAAAAAGAATGTGATGCTAACACCGTGATTCTATAGTGAGGAAGAGGATTTGAGATTAAAAACACGTCAGCAGCTGGAGAAACGCTCCCCGTTTAATCACAACAGCACAACAGCACCTCTCGCTGGCCTGTACAAATCATTTTACTTGGCTCAACCCGAGGCCTTTCAGGCCATTAACTCCAAACAGTTCATTTGAGTATTTTTAATTTTTGGTAGGCAAAGAACTTTATATTGCAGGGTAAAGACCTACTGTGACAGCACTGAGCAGCTCCTTCAGTGGGAGACTGCGGCACCCACGGTGTGGGACGGAGAGATTTCGCAGGTCTTTCCTCCCCACTGCTGTCAGACTCCATAATAAAGACTTTAACTGATCAAGCACACACATCCATACATATGCAATAATACTAAGTGCAATAATCCTTTCTGTCATCGTTGTATTTTTACTCAGTTGTATATAGTATTTGTATTTGTATTCTATTTTTATCTTATTGTATATTTATTTTATTTTATTTTATTCTACTGTATATAGTATTTTATTTTATTCTATTCTGTACAGTTGTGTACTGTATTTATTCTTATTGTATTCTAATTTTTGCCTCATAACTTTTGCACTGTCCACTTCCTGCTGTGACAAAACAAATTTCCCACGTGTGGGACTAATAAAGGTTATCTTATCTTATCTTATCTTATCTTATCTTACAACAACTTTAAGGTAAGCTAATGGCTCAGTCTCACTGACTTTGACAGTTTATCAGCATTCATTGCTGGATTATCAGAAATAGATTGCAAACTGATCCCAGTCAATCACAGACTGATATCATATTGACTCAGCAGGCAGACAGACTGCTGACATTTATTAACTGTACTTACTGCACGGGAGCAGAGAGTCCAAGATGAGTCCGTCTCTGTTGTGACTTTATGAGATTTCCAAATCATTGCATTTACATTTTAAAACACAGAGTTTGTAAAACTGTGATTCAGATTAATTTAATTTTAGCTCATTGTTCTCCTGCTGGGCCCCATCTGTTGGTTCATGCTCACTGCTCTCAGACTGTGTGGCTTGTAGAAGCAACAGTATATTCTCAGCACAAAGCAGAGCATGTTACTTCACAGCAGTGTAAACCACAGCCATTCATTTCCCCTCAGGAGTGGAAATCAAAATGATTCAAGTCTTAACATTTATTGAAGGCTGTGTGGGAGCGCTGAGGAAACAAGTGCTGCTGTGGAGCTAATTTGGAGCAAACTGCTTTATGTTTAAATTCACAGGGTGATTCTCTTCAGTATTACTGGTCAACAACTGCACATGATCCACACTGTAACTGTTTGTGTGTGAAAGCAGTTACAAAACTAAAGCAGCTCCTGTTACATGTGCTAATGTGTTGGTGGCTGAGGAGGTTACAGAGCAGATCACTTTCTAGTCTCCCCGTCTAAATGAAAGTGTTGTGTAAAAGAACACCAGTGTTATCCTTTTACTGTCTGATATGTTGTACAGGGTGTATCAGAAAGAAACCTCAGGTCAGCTGATCACATGACCCAAGTTAAAGTCCTCCTTGAGCTCAGTGCACTGGATCCAGCTCTAACTCCAGATGATGATGATGATGATGACGGTCGAACTCTTGGTTAATATGAAGGCTGTCAGGAGACTCATCATAACTCTGCTGCTCCCTCTCTGCAGGTGCTGTGTTCAGCTGATGATGCTGCTCGTCTTCATCTTCGGCTGTGTGGGTGGAGCAGCAGCAGAGGTGGAGGCTGGAGGATGGTGTGGATGCATTAGCACGTCTGGTGTGTAACAGCCTTTAACCTGCTGTGGGTCAGACTTTATCACCAGACTATCACTGCTGGGCCTCACTGACGTTCTCGAGAACATCGTAACCCAGGATTTTTAAATTGATATCACAGACCACAACCTTAAAGTCAAGGTCAAAGGTCAAGTGTTCTGAAAAGCTTGTGAACTCAGTTTGATGTGTTTCAGTAGAGCTTCCACAAATAACAGGCGATGAAGTAAAATCACTGTTCAGTCTTGCGTGCAGGTAAGAATAGACAGTGACTGAGAGCGTTCATGCGTTTAAGGTGGAATAGATTGTCTTCGCTCTGGTGATTCAGCTGTTTCAGGGCTGATCAGCTGTTCTACAACTTTTACCTCAGAGGATTTGTGGCACCTACAGATTCTCCTGTACCTGCCAGCACACTGACACTTTGACTATCACAGGCCTGTGTGTGGACATGTGGACGCTCTGTGTAACAATGATATTCATTTTAGCACTACTTACTACTGACATGCAAGAGAGGAAGACCAGGGTTCATTTCTTTGCTTATATCTTTCTAAATGCAGGGTAATGACTGTGTAATGTGTTGAATTTAATGTAGTGGACTGTCTGAGTGGGTTTGCTGATAAGCTGAGGTAGTAGAAGATAAGCAGCTCTGTCTCTGCTGCACTGAACGAGTCCTCTGAGCTTCAGCCGCAGACACAAATGATGTGGATGATGTTGAAGCTGATGGGAGTGGTGGGAGGATTGTTGTTGTAGGTGTGACAGAGCATAAGCGAGTGATTGAAGGAGAATAATTAGTTGATTAAGATTAAATTAAATGTCTATAGATGTCTGTGAAACACTCAGCTTGGTGGCTGGCGTTGAAGTGTTTTCATAAGCTTTCCTGTTTTGACTTTGCATTTTCTCCCTGCATGAAACTCATTCATAATGCATGACTTGGTGATCCTGAGCTGGCTGTGGATGTGAGGTTAAATGTGGCTCATCGGCTGCTTTGCACAGTGCAAACCCTTCATAGCCCTTCATTTGTAATTCTGCTAAACTAAGCCACCGTCTTTACTGCTGCTCTGGTCAGTGCATCACGTCTCAGTTCACATCAATAATGCTCAAATATTTGCTGCCTCTCAGTGAATGAGTCAGCTGCAGTAAAAGCCTGGTCTCCATCACAGTAATTACAGGGCAGCTTTTTAGCTAGTGGTCATTTTTAGTTGGCTTGTGCTGCTCAAACGTTCACGCCGTCATGTGAATGATGTCTGTGGCGTGTGTGGGATCAGAGAAGGTTTACGTGGAGTTTTTGCTTATTAATAATTGTTCAAAAAATGCCAACACCTTCCAAATCTGAGACTTTCTCTGAGAAACGGAGAGCTGCAGTCTGCTCTTCAGGTTTTCTTGTATGTGTGGATCTGAATATCAGGATGGAGCTTCATGAATGCCACAGAGTTCGCATGAATCACTGTGATGTGATCAAAGCTAAAAGACCTTTTCTGTCCACTGTCTGATAACAAACACTGACCGGGATTAAAATGGAACTTTGATGACATGTGAACGCAGTTGGTCAGGATAAATTAAAGGTGGTGATTGTGTGTTACTTTATTTAACTGAAATCTGTGGATTTACCTTTTATTTCTTGGCATTTGTTAAATCAAAAAGCTTAAAATGCTCATGTAAATGAACCCAGAGTTAAAAAAAGAAAAGAAAAGAAAGAAAAACATAAAAACTCTTTGGAAGCAAAATGTCTCTGGTCAGGTGAAACTTCTGTCCCGCTGTGACAACTCTGAGAATAGACTGAGTCTGTATTGATCTCTCAGTGCATTATGTGCTGAGTCAGTTGAATCTGACACTGCTTGCTGCCACACACTGCTCTAGTGTGCACACACACCTATCTAACAGATGGCCATATAAGGTAAAGCATCCAGGACACCAGCAAACAAAGAGAAATGAAACTGTGAGAGATTCTGTTCTTGAGTGTTTCATGCAGGCAGATCCTGATTATATCAGCACAGCTTTTAATTTCTTATTTTCTCGTGTTCACAGAGTATCTTCACTCCACATGTAGAGTTGGTTCCACTACCGTGAGGGCTGAACTACAAAGCAAGTCCAGCATAGCTTAGCTTTCTTTGCATTAGCTGGCTCATAAAACCTCAGTCAGATATAAACTTCACAAACACCTGGCAGGAGTTTGTGGAGGACCTGAGCTTCCTCCTCTCCCTGAGCATCGTCTACTACGTCAGTGAGGTCCTGCCTTTCTCAAGGTGGAGGCAGTAAAATAAATGAAGATCCTCGTGTAGAACAAAGACCCTGTTTGCTCTGTTACAAGCTTTATATTGCTGATGTTTTGTATCTTTGATTTTCATTGTTTTCTCCCCACTTGTTATTTACTCTAATGTTTTTGGTATGAACTTTTTTTCCCCTTGTTGTCTTTATTTTACACAAATACCTGCAGCTGTTGTTTAAAAATGTCTCACTATGTGCAATAAATGAATAAAATCTCTTAATGACTGTAATCTTCATCAGGTTAGAGTGTCAGTTTGTTATTATCTCAACTTTATTGGCAAACAGCAGCTTCCCTGAGATTTTTATAAAGAGCAAAGTAAACAGAGTGAAGACTGTAAATCTCTATAAACAAACAAACAGGACAAGTTCTCGCTGTAAATGAATAATTTTAATATAAAAGGGGACTAAATAAGTAAGCAGAATAAACAATAAAACAGTTCTGAAGAATGAAGAATTTTGTAAAGTCGTCTGAGGAGCTTTGAAAGAAAGCGACTGGACGTTCACCTCTTCTTCTCCACTATAAGGGTTGAGTTGTTTTTCGTTTTCAGCTCATCATTTATCAAGTCAGGGTTCCCGTTTGACTTTAGCATGTGTTGTTGGTCACAGTCTGATTCTCTGCCCTCTTCAGCCCCTCCTCCTCCTCTTTGCCGTTGCAGAGGTGTCCATCACCGTTGTTGATGCTAACATTTTTCAAGTTTATTTCTTCCTGCTCTGAGGATCCTCCACTGAAACCTCGAGTGTGCACATTGAATATCCTGTCCCTCAGAAACCAGCAGAGCCAAACCAGCAGGGCAACGATCACAAATACAGCTGCTGTTATGAAGAATGTTCTCCACGACCAGTCGGAGCACTCTGATGGCTGCAGAGGACAAGAAGACAGAGCAGAAATGTTAGTTAGCAGTTTTAACTGACTTTAAATGCTTTCAGTTAAAGTTAAAATAAAACATTTTACACCGTAAAGCTTAACGTAAGGATGAGATCTTTATGTGGTGCGACAAGTGGTGAGACTGAAGGTTGGACAGCAGATGTGGGGACATTAAAATTGCAGAAAATTGTAGAATTTCGGTCAAACAGGAAAAACAGGGGCTTCTGGTTTTTATGGAGCTTCTGCGACCATTATGACACTGACTGCCATAAAGGCCTCCCCCGATCATCAGAATACATTTCTTGTTGAGCTGGGCTCTGTTATCTGTGTGGTTGTGTGGAAGAATACCTCAGTAGACCTTTAATGTTCACAGTGAAGTCTAAAACTAATGCAGTCTGTGTTCTTACCCTCTCTGTGGTTGTAGGCTGTGATGTGGTGCTTGGTGGTGTTGGTGGTGTGGAGACGTGCAGGCGGACAGCGGAGCGGTGTTTCTCCACTTTGTCGATGTCACAGTAATAAACTCCTCTTTCTCTCGCCTCGGCTCGCTTTATGATGAGGGACAGGTTTGCTCGTTGGTGCCAGTCTGATGGTATTGAGACCCGGCTTTCATCAAAGCTTTTTCCATATGTGGTTTTCCCCGACTCGACATCCAGCTCCAGCACCACCTTTCCATCTCTCCTCCAGCGCACAGACTTCACCCACTGACCTGCTGTGATGGAGCGGCACGGGAGGATGGCATCCTCGCCCTCGCGTACAAAAACATCAGAAGGTATGAATACCTGCAGCTGTGCAGTCTCTTCTTTCTTGTTGTTGCAGTCAAACTCGTAATAGCCTTCATCACTGATATCTGCACTGGTCAGTATCACAGAGTCGCTGCTTTGGAAAAACCTGCTAATATAACCTGGAGCCGGCTTCCAGCTGCCGTCGAGATCCCCGACCGAATGGAGGCTGTTGTCCTGCAGGCGACGTTTCAGCGTGCCTCTTCCTTTCATGCACTCCTCTGTGAGGGGAAACGTTACATCGTCTCCTGCAGCGGCTTGAATCAGTTTCCCAGAAACACCGCTGATAAAAAGAAGAGGAATGAGCGTAGAGACCGAAAAACGTGTCATCTTGTCAGTGTGGCAGCAAAGTGAGCCGCACAGTAGCTGACTCTATTTATCTGCCGAGGCGTCTGGTTATGACTGCTTGTGCCAACCAATGCACCGCCCTCAGAGAAACCACAGGAAACCACAGAGTGGGTGAGTGCTCAAAGGGCCTGTTAGTGTTGGTGTATGAGGTGAGATTGGTACCCAGCACAGACTTTTAAGCCGGCGAGGCATGATAGCGGATGGCGCTCAGGTGCGTCCGCCTCCCTTGCAGCCGCCTCACAGACCACGTCCCGCCACAACCACCTTTATAAATCTTCACAGTCTGAACTCTCTTTGACAAGATTTCTTGTAATACTTCTCCACGCTTCTTGATGGACATTCAAAGTCTTTGTTTCTGCCTTTAGATGATCCCACATGTTGAGTCCCAGGATCTGGGGAGGCCAATCCATGACTGATAGTGTGTGTGTTTTTCTATCCAGGTATGATTTTACTGCACTGACTGTGTGTTTGGGATCCTTGTCATGCTGAAATGAGGCTGCTATATAATTTTGGCACACCTCAGTGTGTTCCTCCTGTTTCTAGTTTGGTTTCTTGCCAGTCACCTGTTTGGAACAATTAGTGTTTTTTTGACAGGCTGCTGCTAACAGAGTACCCAATGAAACAGTTTTAAACCATTTCACTGCCCATGCAGGAATTAGCTACCTGAATGATTCATAGGTCAGTGTTAGTAACTTAACAAAAACCAAGAACACTTCCTTAACCTCCGAGGCCCTCCTGCCCACATATGTGGACATCACATTTTGAGTTGTGCCTGATAAAGTGCCTGATATCTGCTTACGAGGACAATAAAGTGCCTCTCTTTTATCAAAATTTTAAATGAATATCCTCATATGTGGCTCTCATTTTTCTTAGAAACAAAAATCAGGTAAAAAAAAAAATCTGGCGATTCTTTGTTTTTACATTCATCAGGTCCCAATCAGCCCAAATATCAAAGAGAAATTAAAAATGCATGCTGTGGAGGAGTTTGGGTCTTAGGAGGTTAAGAAGCCATAAAACACTTTACTTTTACATGTTTTTGTGCTTTAGGAGGTTCACTCTGAATCCTGACCTCCTTTATTTCACAGTATATAGGAACAGTTAAGAGAGGTTAGTAACATCTGGAAGACTCAGACTGATGCAGAGATCTGAACTCTGATCCGTTCAGTTCTTCTGGTTACTGAAGCTGCTTCTTTGTCCGTCTTACTGTTCAGTTGTGCGAAAAAGTGTTTGACTCCTTTGTGATATTTTCTTTAAATGTTTGTCACTTGTTTCAGATCACTAAATTTAAATATTAGACAAAGATAACACCAGTAGTTTATTATTACAATTATTATTAATCCAAACCTATATGGCTCTGCGTAAAAAAAATGGATGTTTGTGTGTGACTATAACTGTGTCAGTAAAATAAACATCGCTTCAAGACATGTTTTACAGTTTACAAAATCAGAAATAAGATGGATTAATAGTCATGAGGGGACTCTTTATTAAGAACTTGAAACTGTTCATCTGCTGCAGTGTCTCTTTGGCCAGCACCAGTGTGCTCTCCCTGGTATCACGTGTTCATGTGAAGCAGAGAGAGCTTACCGGCAATGACTAAGACACAGTTGTGCTGTTTGTAAGTTGTCTCTTCACCACACGTACTCGCATGCTATGAAGCTTAACTTCTTTTAATTTCATTTTTTGTTCTTGTTTAGTTCAATGGAAACGACCTGTCTGTAAATGGTCACGAAACAGAAAGAGTTTCGATGCTTCCTGTTCAAAGCGTAGCGACTCAAACTGTGTGTAAAACCTCCCACATCTGTGCGACTGACAGTGACATCAGTGGCTGACTAGCTGATTCTCTGTAGATTGACATCATCTTTATGAGTTGTGAGTGGCATTGCTTTCATAATCAATCACAAAAAATATCTTAGCTTCAGTTTTGTTTGTTTAAATAAATCCAGTTTTTAACGTAACTGTGTCAGACCTGACATATCTTTCTTTTGTAAGAAAATAAAATCTGAAAAAGTAAAAGTATCATTACTTTTTCTTGAAACTACAAATAGTCTGGTTTGATGATGTTAATAGTGGCTTTATGGTTGAAAACATTTGGTTAACACAACTTTGTATCTGCACTGACTGTGTAGTCAGTTAAGTTTAGGCTGGAGTTTATCAACATCACTGTGTTTAAAGATTTGGATTTTTAATAAAATGTCTGTAGACACCTGATAGCCTCATAGGCTGAACTGACTTTGGAGATCTAACAATTTTCACTTTACTAGTCAATCCTGATCACTAAGGAGGTCTTAGCTTTGGCAAGTTAAGAGACACTGTAGAACCTTCAACAGCACCGACTAAAAGATTTAAGTGTATGTATACATTTGATCTGTGTGGATAAGAGGAAAGTGTAGTGGTTTTCACAGTCACCTAACGAGCAAAAGATCCTCAGTTTGATCCTGGGAGGAGACATTATTTCCCTTTGGATTTGGCAAAAATCTGCCAAGTCAAACATTTAGAGCTATGCTGTGTGGTGACCCCTTGTGAAGAAGGGAGCAGCTTTTTATATGCTGTTAAAGATGTATGCTGTATCATTTTACCCAGGAAAAAGGAGACTTCAAATAAATTATTTAAAGCCCAAAATTACCATGACATTACTTTTTCTTCTTGCATCCACGATGAGAATCTGTGAAGCCGACAGCAAGATAAACATGACTCGCAGAGCTAAAATCAGCATATGAAAGCCCTCGAGCTGGAAAAGTCAAAGTTCCTTTTTAACATTGGTTTACATTTTGTTTTGGTTGTGAGGATTTTGGATGTGAGTTTGTAAGAGATGCAACACTAACTGCACATCTAGCAGATTTAAAACAGCAGAATGCAATTCCAAATAAAGATTTTATTTCTAGCTGATGTTATTAGGAACAGTTAAGAGAGGTTAGTAACAACGGGAAGACTCAGACTGATGCAGAGATCAGAATTCCGATTACTGAAGCTGCTTCTTTGTCAGTCTTACTGTTCAGTGGTGTGAAAAAGTGTTTGACTCCTTTGGTTTTGAGGTTTCCTGTTTAACGACACGCTGAGTCAGAACAAGCATGGATGCGCTAAAATGTGTTCCCCACATTGAACAGTGAAAATGAGCAAACATTTGCTAGTGGTTTTTGGCTGACTTCCTGAGAATGAAGCTTTTTGTAGTAAAATATAAAGAAGTAGAGTGTCTTTGCTCCTTTTTTGTTCTCAAACTGTTCTCCTCTAGAAGCTCAGTCTGGCTGGAGTTCGTTTTTTCTCTCCCTGTCTTCCCTCATGAATTACATATTTCATTGTTTCCATCCTACCTCTCTCCGACCTGCCCTAATATGATGTCTGTGAAATGAATGTACGAACGGAAGGGGGTCCAATTTCACTGCATATTTGTCACTGCACATGACAAAGAAAGGGCTATCTATCTACACTCAAAAAAGTCAACTAAGGCAGTTGTTTGATTAATTCAATAGACATTTGTCTATTTAACATGAACATATTGAGTTTAGGTTTTTAAATCATTATCAGTTGTTGGTTTAACATAAAATAACAAAAAGTTTAATGAACTAGATTTGCATTCTTCAGTTCAATTAAATGTAATTATTTTAAATCAACAACTCTAAAACCGATGCCTAGTGCGCATGCTCAAACTTCCCAAAAGTGAAGAGGCGGGAACGCGGAGAAGTTATATGTGTTCAGTGGACTGCCATTTCCCTCTGCGGAATCTTCCACAATACAGGTAAGTAATAAATAACTCAAAATATCTTAGTCAAACGAAGTTGTTTTGTCCATTAATTGTTTAACAATGTTTTTAATTCCAAATGTGTAAGTTGTCATTAGACAGCGGGAGTGGAGCAAATACAGTGAAAATCTGGTATTAGACGGTGCCAATCGGTACCGTCTAATACCTGATTTATAATCCGCTCTGGGTATATTTATACTATTATTAGCATTTCCACTTCATTGTTTTTCTTTTTTTTTTTTTTACCCGTTTTTGCAGTTAGTCTTATAGTGTTTTTAGCGGTTATTGATATGTTTAATTCAATATTTAACACATTTGTAATTTACTTTCAAAGTAAATGAAGTTAGCTAAAGCTAGTATGGTTGTCTCATTGAACTTCTACCTAGCTCTGTTAGCATTCACTTTGGTTTTAAATGACGGTTATTGCAAGACATGGTCTTTGTTCACTTTTTTTATTATCATTTGCATTTTTTCTTTCTTTCTTTCTTTCTCTCTCCTTTTATTTTAAGCATTCGGCCTCTCACAGTAATGCAAGTTAAACTAGCATGCGCGATTTGCTAAATATTAGCTGTGTCCAAATTCAGGGGCTGCATCCTTCGAATTGACTTGATGCTAGTACATGGGAAAAAGAGCATAAACACGAGGTCAGAGGAAAAGGCAATGGCGGATAGTTATGAAAATTGCCTGTCGGACCTTTACCGCAACTACCAGCATCTTTATTGCATAGTGTGAAACACTGCTATTACATTTGGCAACAGATTGGATATTTATCTGTGAATTTTATATTGCAAGAGGTATTTATATGTATTTGTATTTTTTTTTATACATTTGCAACAAAGTAAAAAAAAATCCACTGTGGAATTTTTATAAAATAATTTTTTCTGTTTTCTTTACCATAGTAACACCACAAAGAAAGCTGACCCCTTTTTCTGATTGTTTGTGCCTCCTCTTTAATACATGGTAAGCCTTTTACCATCATATATTTTTTATGATAGTTTTATGATTTAATCAAAGTGAAAAAAAGGTGCCAATAAAACTATCCTTAAAACTGCTTTTCTTTTTTTCTTTCAGTGACTTGTATGTGGCAGTGCAAGCGTTGTTCCATCAGGGAGAGTAGTAGGTACAATTATTGAAACACTGTACAGGGCTCGCAAAATGGCTAGCCCGACGTCCCAGGGCTAGCGATTTTTCCAGTCGGGCTACCAAAATCTATCTCTGCCCTGCCCGTCGGGCTGTCATAAGAAGGAAAAATATATGTCAATGCTTCTGCATTCTTTCGGAAATGTAGCTGGGTAATTATGTCATTGGCATCGGTGAGCCACTGTCAATATGTGACATATTGAAATCGCGTTTGAATTTGCGCTTGTTTTTTGCTTTCACTTTGCAATCGCGCGACCTGTGTATAGAGAGCGACAGCACTGATCTGTGAGTGATGATAATTTGTGCACCAATTCCTCTGACATCGTCTTATCAATCATTAGCTTACTATGCAAACATGACAAGTGAAATCTCCCGCAGCTTAAACATGTGAGAGGTTGATCGCGCAGACAATCGCTGAGTGTTATGTGAGTGCGTGTGTGTAAAAGCAGCAGGATATTAATTGTAGTTCTGCTGAGCCAAATAAGACAGGTCAGGGTGAAGAAGTGACAGCCAAAGAAAAGCTTACCACAAAACGGAAAAGTTATGACAAATCAGACTATAAGGCAAAAAGAAAGTGCAGCTTTATGGTTTCATGGACAAAAGAATTTCTGTGGCTGCAACATGACGAGCTATATAACCGGGGCTGCACATAAGTGGTCCGCAAGTGCGTATTTGCTGTCAAAATAAAAAACGCGCACAAGATAAGAAGTTGCAACGCGTGTTTGCATACATAAGATTTTCTGGAGGAGGACATATTTGTTTAGAACTCTTAAATATGTCGAAGAAGCTCCTTTAAGCAATTACTTTGGTTTTCCTCCACCTCCAAAGAAATGTCAGAAGGAGTCCGAACCACAAAAGAAGCGCGTATTCTCGCAAAAGTGATTGCAGGAGGTGAGCTGGCTTCAAACAAATGATGAACGCACAGATGTGGTGCAGAATGTGCCGTGAAAATCCCACTCTAGCGAACAAAAACAGCCTTTTATATGGATGCAAACGTGCGTTGCAACTTTTTATCTGTTGCGCGTCTTTTATTTTGACAGCGAATGCGCACATGCGGACCACTTATGTGCACCCGTGTAAATAACATAATGTTCTGCCAGGTGTGTTGTTGGTTTTCCCTCGATTTCTGAGTCGACAAGCGCCTTTGTTACTGGGACCAGTCATTTTAAGAAAGGCCCCCATTAGAAATGGATTATTGCTCAGTCTGCAATATCTTTCCCAGAACAAACACCAATTGCAAATAATATACTAAAAATAAACCTGAAAAATCTGTTTAGAACAGCATACTGTGTTGCAAAGAGTGAACTACCACTGGTGCAATTTAGCAGTCTTTGCAAACTTCAAAAAGCAAATGGCCTAGATCTTGGTTCCACTTGCCTCTTACTTGTGACTTTAGTGGAAATTTCAAATTCAGTATCTGACACAGACTGATTCATGTCCTACACAGACAGCACTGATGTCTGCATGGTCTTCTAAAAGCAGCTTTAGTCAGCTTAGATGTGAAGTGAGTGAAATATACAGTTGCGTTTTTAATCAATGTATTTGTTCTCTATTGCAGATTGACAAGGAGTTTCTGCGAATCACCACAAAGCCTCTGCTATCTACTTTCTTTGCCGAGCTTGACCAATACACGCCACGCTTAATGGAAATCTTTCTGACCAAAGGAGGGACACGTGGAAAGAAAATAAGAGGTCTCATGCTTGCCATCTCCAAGGTTTGTATTAGGATTGAGTAGACTTTGTCATAGGCAGCAAAAATAACTTTTATTTGGAGATGAAGTTGTCAATTTTGTTTCGGCTTAACAAGTGGTACATGCCAGGTTCTAACCTAAAGAATAATTATGCAAGTTAACTGATTACCCTAGCTTTAAGAAAAACAGACTGGTTTTGGCTCATATTATCTCCTCCTCCTCTCCAGCATGACAACATCCATACCAGACGAGCATGCATCTTGAAGTCTTTGTGCATCCACCTAAACGAAGACTATGAGAAGTTAATAAAGGAGTACTTGGTGAGCCATTGTGACAGCATGTTGTCTGTAACATTCTCATACAAATTGTGACGTTGCCTCAAATGCAAATCATTAAAATTAAAATTTTGAGATTAGCAACAAGACATCTGGTATTGGGGAAAGGATGTCTTGAATACCAAACAGTATTAAGCGTTGCAATAAAGAATTTCTGGAATTTGGTATTGGAAGGAAAGAAATTTATGCCTACTTAAACTTGATACACAAACATACAATGCATTTAACATGCATCAAGACTATATTGCTTTTGAATCTGTACTTAGATTAAAACAAGTCCTGTTGTTTTTTCATTGTTATGGTCATCAGTATTTGTAAATAGAAATGTCTATGAACTTTGAGCTGTTTAGTACTAACACTTCTATACCTGTTTTATTTTAGCAGCTGAGTTAGCCTTTTCTCGAGTCCTGTCCCCCTAAGTTACTCTTGCTACGTCCGACAAACAAATGGTTTCCTCTGCGCACCAATGGGTACCCGAATGTGCGAGCAGACATGCTTCATAATGTTCGGTACATTTACCTGGGAATGGGGCCATACACACTGTTTAATCCATTCACGTTGTTTTTGACTTTGTGAATGGAAAGAACACAACTCCTCCAGACACAATCTCTCGGCGTATCGGTGGGCACACCGCTTCTCCATCTTGCTTGAGGTTAATGTTTGTCAGACACAGTAACGGTTGCTATAATGTGTAATTGGACAATGGCCCTTTCGGGGGAGGGGCCGGTGAGAGGTCAATTATGCCACCTCTTTTGACATGAGAGGTGTATTTTATAATTTATGTATTGGAGTAATTACTAACAACTACTTTAGTGGTGTAATTTTCTGTTTATTACTTTGACTACTTGGATTTTATGAACAGCATAGAAACAGTTGTTTAAACAATCTCTTAAATTTTACTTTGTTGTCTTATACTTTTTCATGTAGGATACGGACAGCGAGGCAAAAAGCTGCATGGAGCAAACTGTGATGGGGGTGTACGTCATCCAGAAGGAGGGTGCTGAACCTGAAGATGACCCAGAGGACGTTGGTGTCGTGATTGAGGGTGTGGAGGCTAACACTGATTTGGGTAACATTGCACAAGCATGTGCTCTGTTGTTTGGACTCTTATACCGTTTGAACCTGAGCTACCCACCAGAACTTAAATGCACCTTTGAAGTCCTCCAGAAGATACTTTTAAATCTTGATGGACAAAAGCTGTCTTCAAAGGTACAGTTTCTGAAAAACAAGCTTATGGGGTGAGAGCACTTGAAAATGACTGATAGGTCTTGAATGGTTCATTGGTGCAATGGTGATTTCCAATATATAATGTTAATATTTGAGTTGTTTATATTTTTTTTCTTTCATTTAAAACATTTTTTTTTAAGTTTTTGGATTCTCTCTGTTGGGCAATTCACCTTTTATACAGCACTGCAGATGATTTTTGTTTGTCCTTATATAGATGGCTCAAAATGGATCAGAAGTACTGACAGAAGTACTATGTTGTGTTTATGTGTCAAGGTCCTGTAAAGTTTAAGACCACTGCCACCTGTTAAGTTCACTGTATTATTGTGTCCATTTTGCTTGCTAGCATGTTTTAAAACACAGCAAAACTATATTGCTAGCTGTGGAGGACTGCAACCAAAATTAAAAAAATAAATACAGAAATATAAAAATTGGTCAAACTAATAATTATTTCAATGAGATACACCAAACAAATATAGATTTTCATCACCTATGGAATTTTTTGTTGTTGTTGTATTGCCCCCAAAATATTTCTAATTATTTTATTTTATTTTTCCAAATTCACACAATTCGATTTTGTCACATGTTTTAACTTGCCAAGTGGGAGATGTATTTTTATCTTTTAGTTTAATTTTTTAAAATGCAGTCGATATATTGAGCAAATTTTGCATCTGTTTTTAGTTGTGGAAGCTTTGGTTCCAACATATTACCTATGTAAATAAGTATTCTAACATTTTACCTTTTGAAGTATATGCTTGCAGGTGTACAAAAATGCAATTTAGTGGACAATTATATTGTCCACTAAATCCAGTTAATAAAGATAATGTTATCATAATCTGATTGTGACTTTTTTTGTAAAGTAGTGGGTTTCTAAATGTGTAACAAATGTAAACAAATCTAATTGAAATAATTTGGTTGAAATGAGTGAAATCATTGCCTTGATTAACAAAGTAGTTGTTGAAACAACAAGATTTAATTCTGTTTTCCTAAACTTTTTAAATTGTGTAGAATGAATTAAAACAAATTTCACTCTACATACTTAAATAAATCACTTCAAATCAATGTAAGTATAGTATGTTGATCCAACGTAATCTGATTACATTAAACCACCAAATGCTAAATGTGTTGGTTTGACATGATCGAAAAGGGTTTATTGTACTTGGTTAAATTGTGTGCAAAAAGGGTGCCATGATTAAATTGTGTTCATCCAACAACAGATTTTTTTGAGTCTATCTATGATGTGTAAGTTAAATCTGTTGTCTTTTTTTTAAAGCTTCTGTTTGGAAAGATGAGCCTTTAACATAAACTGAAGCCCATGATAGTACAGATGGTCTCTGTTGAAACTGAGATTTGAATCTCAATGAGATTTTTACCTGGATAAATAAAGGATTCATAAAATATAACACTACAATCAGCAAATCAAACAGGAGGTCTGTATGTGGACTGGAGGCACTTTTTTGAAAACATCAAACGTCCTCACTCAGACAGGAAGTAGACAGTTTATTTAGAAAATATATATACAAATATAGGCATAGACGCAATGAAACAGATCAAATGAAGTTTTAATCTAAAATCATATGTGAATGGTCATATATGATGGTTCCGCGGACGGTAATCATATCACAGTCTAGCATAGACCTAGTATATATAGTATAATACCCGTGTAGGTGCGGACGTAGCGTAATAGTTAGCAATAGTTACTTTTCAAGTAATTAATTAATTTTAGAATCTTGTAGCTCAGTTACTAACTCAGTTACTTTTTTGAAGAAGTAACTAGTAACTATAATTAATTACTTTTTCAAAGTAACTTGCCCAACACTGCCACTGGGGAGTGCTGGTCCTGAGCCTCAAAGATAGCAGCAAGCAGAGCGGGAAAAAACAGAAAATTATTTAGGAGCTGTTTTGATTGTTATTGGCTGTGCAACCATTAGAACTTATAACACAGAAGGTCAGTGTAGACCTCAAATAACCAAATTAGGCTAACACATATAATATTAAAAACACCATCTACTACTGTCTGAAGGTGTGGTATTGACCCTGTCAGTTTCGGTCTAAAGAGATATGTGTTTAAAAAAGACCACCTAATTTAAATATAATCATTGCATACTTGTTAAAAGCTAACTTCCAGTATATAAAGTTTCTAATAATCAAAATGACCAGATAAAACATATGGCAGGGTTTATATATAACATAGGCAACCCCAAAATGTTTCTTATAATTCAACTGTGGAATTTAACTTAATTATTTAAAAGGGCAAGCTGAATTATTTTATTTTCAACTATAAAGCCAACCTAGAATTTAACCATTTAACAGGCCACTAATCTGGTAAACTGGACATTCAAAACAAAACTTATTTTTAAACATTTTTTTTTAACAAAACAAACACTATTATTGTATAAAAGGCCCCAAAACGTTTGACCGGAAGTATAGCGTCCCGCTTGCCCTTCACAATAAGAGCATTATAGCGGATTATAACGGGGGATGCTGTTATTTTGTATAACTACAGGAAGTAGTTCCTGTGTACTGACGGTTGCTTAACCTCGCACTAATGCTATTTAGTTGCATAGTGTGAGCAGTTTGAAGTGTATTATATATTTCTGATCTTTATATTTGATTATGTTAACTATGTTGTATTATGTTTATATTTGAGTATTTGACTTGTCTATTCTCTTTATTTATTGTTATTTCCCTTGTTTATTTCCTTTGTAGGAAACCACACACACCACACACACACACACCCCCAGACACACACTTATGTACACCGCTGTGTTACAGCCCCAGAAATTAAGCGGTGACAATAAAGTGCCTGAAACGGAACCTCAAGCTCCCTCCTTCTTTCGTACTCTGGGCAATTTGGCCTTAAGTGGTGTTCTGGCCGACACACCGGGGTGACCGTAGTGCTCAAAGACTGAATCAGTGCCACAGCCGTGCCTATCTTTGATATCTCCACTAAAATTATTATTATTATTATTTAAAATGTAATTAAACAGAAATGTCCGTTAAATGAATGTCGTGTTTTTAATTCCGCTCCGGACTCGTGAATCTCAACCCAGCAGCAGCGGTAACGTTTGCACGTCCTCTCCCGTTAATGCGGCAGGTAAATAATCAACAACAGTGCATATTATGGTAGTGCGATCTGCCTTATTACAAAAACTGAGATTTTCCATTTTTTGTAAAAAGTCCTGTCCACACGTACAGTTTTGTCCACACATGTAAATGCTAAAAACTAAATTTTGGCCAATCAGAAGTCTAGAAGCCTGGGAGGGAAAGAGTAAACAGGGTTTTGTAACCTCACAAAACCTTAAGTACTTATGAAAAGTTTTTGTATTTTGCACTATTGTTAATTAAAAGGAGTTATGTTGGTTTTGTCACATTAATAAAAAATGAATGATTACAAATTTAATTTTGACATCATGAAACTTTAAACCAACCTTTTCACCCTTGTTTAAGAAGAATGTGCTGTAAATGAGAACAATTCAGTGTAAGTAAATTAATATTGACAATAAAACCATTATTTTTTTTCACAATGAGTTTGTCTGACAGCATCTATAAATCAGGGAGATTATTGTGTTGATGCAATTGCTGTGTCATGTGGACAATAAACATTGCTGTTTCTCACCTTTGACTTTCAGCCTGCTCGCTATCGATTCTGTTCCTCCTGAGATGGTGCATTTGTAAAGTCCTTCATCCAACTTTGAATGTCTTTGGATAGTCATGTTTGCTGTGTTGCTGTGGAGCTGCTGTGAGCATAAACTCCCTCTTCATAAAAATTAAAGGTTTGAAATTATCCACAACTTCCCAATTAACAGCTTCCTCACAGTAAAATATCACTGAATCATATTGAAAGAACTGCAATCTGGAACAATACGAAGAGAAACTGCATCTGAGCTCAAGAAAAGAAACCGAAGATTCAGTTTGTACTTCTACTACTAAGACTGCTGTGGGTAAACACTTAAAAAATTACACTTGAGTAAATGAAAGCAAAATAATTGAAAAAATCAGAGCACTATTAGCACTATGGTCATATCGCCCTATTAGAGCAGGGCGATATGACCAAAAATATTTATCACGATATACATTTGAAAATTTGTGATAACGATATAACTGACGATATAATTGAGGCGAGACAAAATACTTTACAACTGCACAACTTTATAAGTGCAAAAAATCCCATCAATGTATTTTCACTTAAACAAGCAGCTTTTTTGAGTGCATTAAAATAAATATGGTAAATGATCTGTATTTATATAGCGCTTTACTAGTCCCTAAGGACCCCAAAGCGCTTTACATATCCAGTCATCCACCCATTCACACACTGGTGATGGCAAGCTACATTGTAGCCACAGCCACCCTGGGGCGCACTGACAGAGGCGAGGCTGCCGGACACTGGCGCCACCGGGCCCTCTGACCACCACCAGTAGGCAACGGGTGAAGTGTCTTACCCAAGGACACAACGACCGAGACTGTCCAAGCCGGGGCTCGAACCGGCAACCTTCCGATTACAAGGCGAACTCCCAACTCTTGAGCCACGATCGCATAACAGTGCAAATGCAAATTCCTTGCTGACAGCTTAACCAAAAGGCATTTCCAGTGGAAAGTAGCCGACATATCCTCAGTATAACTCTGTATAATATCCACAAAACTTAAGAGGTTATACACACACAATACGGTAATATTATGTTGAAGCACAGTACATATCACTCCGTGAGGCGCCTGCCTACGATGGCCGTAATGCTCCGACAATCTATCAAGCGGTGCTGCTTCGTAGCTTAGCAAAGTCGTGCTAAAACATTTTTTGACAGATTTTTGAGTGCCGTGTACGACATAAAATCGTTTCGAGGTCAGTAAACACAACCAGAATTCATACATAAGGCACACGGGATTATAAGGTGCACTGTCGATTTTCAGAAAAATCAAAGGATTGATTTAAGTGTGCCGTATTTTCCAAACAACACGGTAATAACGATGGCCCGCTAGCATGCTCTACCAAAAATAGTGGTTTGTTGTGTATCTGACGGACGAAAGCTAAACCAGTTCCACACCAGTGAAGTTGCAGCATTTTTACAAACCAATTCTGGTTCATCTGTTTCATTCAACGATCCGCTTTCGCTCTTCTCATTCTGCGTCGCCGCCATGTGCGTATGTAAACAAAGGCACTGCGCATGCGCATTTTACCCATATTCTATCGCGATATTTAATTTTCTTATCGTTGCCCAACGTTACACCAGTATTACCGTGAACGGTATGATACAGCCCAGCCCTAGTCACTATATAGTAATTATACTAATGATTATATGCTCCAAAGGAAGAGGTTCAATAAAAATACTTTTTTTTCAGTCAAACACAAAATATTAAACCACATTTAAATCAATGATCGAATTAATGACACTCACCAACTTTCTGATCATGTGCACACTGCAGGATCAGGAGGGTCATTACTAAAGAGACCAAAAAGAGTTACAGATTACAAAAAATCTGTGTTATATATGTTATGTGTTTTAAGATCTCATAACTGGTACATAAAAATAGAAATAAAGAAAATTGTGCAATTTTTTTGCATTCAATAAACTATTCTATTAGGGTTTAATGAATTGGTTGTAGTTAAGTTTTTATGTGGAAATAGACACAGTTTTAGGCACAGAGCTCTGACCTCCATCATGTGTTGTTGCTGAGTGTATGGACAACTGATAAATGTAAAGGCAGTCAGCATGGGGCGTTTTCCTGCGTGGCTTCTTCCTGCAGCTAAAGACATACTAAACAAAAATAGCTTTCAAAGCACCCGTGCTGCATTCAAGTTACCCACAGTGTTTCAGATCATTATCAAATGAGAAAAAAGACAGACTGCTGCTCTCAATGTGAAATGCAGTCATGTGGTATTTCTCATGCTCACCTTCATCCACCCACTGACAAAATGGAAAATTTTATGAAATAAAATAAAAAGCAACTACAGATTGCTAAGATTTTAGAAAGAGTTGTGATGAACCATTTGTCTTGGACAAATATGGTATGTTTGGAGAGGAGAATGTTGTATTTTGCTGACGTTGGATATGCCTTCTGTTAACCACCACATGTTTTTATATGCTGAAATATTCAATGTCCATATCTGGATTTGTTCTGGATTCACATGAATTCACATGATATCTGTCTGAACAGTGTTTTTCTGGGGCTGTTTCCAAATACAGGTCATTGTCCTCTTCTCTTGGGTATAATGTGCTACAAGGTTATGTACCATGGACCATTTTTTTTCTTTAAATTTGTGTCTACTCCATCTTTAGTAACTTTAAGGACATGTGTTATCACTGCTAATTCAATTATATAGCTCTTTTAAGGGCCACGATGTTTCAAAGCTGTAGGTCCTGAATAGGTGCTTAGATTCCATTAAAAGTTGGATGGTTGACAATTTTCTCTGACTTAATGATCAAAAAAACAATACGTCCTTGTTTGTGCCCCTCAGATATTTGTGCTCAATGAGTGCTCTGGGTACCAGTATAATATTTGCTCAATCATCTCGCTGGCTCCTCATTGAATACAGATTGTCCAAACTCAAAGACTTCTCCAAATGCGTACTTAATTTCCCCAGATTTTAAGGATGGGTTGGATTTATCCTTCCTGGCCCTATCCCAGAATTCATAGCGCGGCTCAGCCAATTCCAGTTTCCAACGGCTCTAGCCGGCGAGAACAGTGAACTCCAGGCACATTGTTTACAAACCCTCCGCGGTCTTTCGCTACTCAGGTTTAACCAGTGTTGGGGAGTAACGGAATACATGTACCGCCGTTACGTATTTAAAATACAAAATATGAGTAACTGTATTCTGTTACAGTTACCGTTTAAAAGGTGGTATTTAGAATACAGTTACTTTGTTGAAATAAATGGATTACACTGCGGTACATTCCTGTTTCATTTTGTCGCGGGTCAGGACTGTTTGGGTTTTGTTTGACAGCTACGTTCTGTTGTTCCAGGCGGCAGCGTTACGGTTGCCATGGTTACAGGGCGACGCTCTCTCTCTCTCTGCGACTGTGTGTTTCCTGGGTGATAGAGCGCATTTTTGTTGTTGTTGTGCTAAGCTAATAGGCAGGATGCTACAGGTATAGCTCTAAAGAATGTAGCCTCATGGGCAGTGTAGCCCGTGCTGCTGGGAGAATGGACTGCCATACACGTTATGTGTCTCTGAACGCGAGGAGGGAGAAAGGGGCAAATGGAAAAGTAGGAGTTGTCATCGAGGAAAAACGGGAGCTGGAAGCATGTAAATATAATAATAACCACTGCAGCCAAGAAGAGAGCCTGACAAGCCCAGTTGTAAGTAAGCTATTAAGACTCAACTGTACACTGTGTTCGTGTTTTCCTCTGAAACAATAAGTTTCGTTGGTGCAGCCTTTCAACGCCTCTCTCTGTCTCTTGCAAGCAAAGTTGACCCACACAACAAAGTAAAGCTATTTTTCGGCTACGAGCGGACATGGACCCCGCCATATTAGTTAGGTCCCTTTACTAAGGTTCGGAGCCGCGGACCCTCGGTAATAGTAATAAATCACAGCAATACATTCAGCATGATAATATATTAAGTAATCCAAAGTATTCAGAATACGTTACTCTCATTGAGTAACGTAACGGAATACGTTACAGAATACATTTTGGGGCATGTATTCTGTATTCTGTAATGGAATACATTTTAAAAGTAACCTTCCCAACACTGGGTTTAACATGATATATAAGTCACTTAGATAACTTAAAAATGTTATTGTTTGGCTTTTGTCAGTGTTTTATTTGTTCCTGAGTAAATCGGTTTGACTTAGATTAAAGTTATAGTTTTGACACAGCTGAATAAACATTTAACAGAAAACTGATTAAACAGAAGTGTGAGATGGTTGAGAATTTACTCCTGTGTCCTGTTATATTTGAGATCAGACGGCTGAGATAATTAAACTCCACCGAGACAATCTGCAAATTTCATTTAAATTTAATAAAACTATCATCTTGTCTTTATTTTTAGTTAGCACATACCTTAAACACTTCAAGCTGTAAGCTAATGATAGTTATATAAGAGCAGATGCTGCTGGTGCAGTAAGCTGTACGTTTTATGTGTAATGGATGCATGATCTGATTAGTCGACTAATCGCAAAAATAATCTGTGACTAGTTGACTATCAAAATAATTGTTTGTGGCAGCCCTCGTGGCCACCAGACTCTGGACCTCTCTTCCTCCGAGCTTGAGGTCAGTGGACTCTTTCAAGAAACAACTAAAAACTCATCTTTTCAGACTTGCATTTAGTTAATTCTTCTTTTTTTCCCCTGGTATTTTGCACTGGTTTGTCCTGAAGCACTTTGTAAATTTGTCTTGAAAGGTGCTTTAGAAATAAAATTTTTAATTACTTACTTGATATATGATATAAGATAAGACAAGTCATGACAAGATAAGACATTCTTTCTTAGTCCACATCCAAGCAGTGGACAGGAACAAATAAACAGATTCAGCATAACCTGATAGACTTGATGAGCAACCTGGTGAAACAGCAAGCCCAGTGCCTGCCAGAGTTGGTGCAAAAGTTTGAAATGATTTTGGATTTTCTCTAAGCCACACAGGGTCGAAAGGGACTACATGCTGGTGGCATAATTCTGGCTGGATACTTAACCACTCTTTTAGCAGAACCCTTTAAACTGGTTAGTTTCTGGAATAAACTTTGCTTTTAAGCATAGTTTTCAGGAGGGATGTACTGATTTGGGCTTTCACTACAAGTTGTAAAAATATGTGTTCATTCTAGAAGTTTAAGACCAAGTTCAGAGAAAAGATTTGGCCGGTTGAAAAAAATCACTATTATCACTGTCAGTAAAAAAAAAAAAATTAATAAAATCATTGTATGTATGAAGAAATTTTGCTTTTGACTACTCCAATTGATTTCACCAGCACTTCCTTCCCCCTGCTGTGCAGCAGTAAATATTGCAGCATTATCTCAAAGGCAGATATAAAGTTGCATTCAGTTTGACATTGAATATATATGGATTCAAAGAAAGCAAACAAGCAAAAACAGAAAAAAATCACTTGATGATGGTGTATAAATATTTCAGTACAAAGTAAGTCATTTATAAACAGGAAATGGTGTGGGAGTTAGGTTGACATGACATTTTTTCTAGTGATTTCATTTCTTAAAGCCAAGCAGCACATGATGCACCTGCTTCTAGATTTTTAAAAACACACAATGCAAACTTTTCTGCCATTGCCTGCAATGTTTCCTCTATCATGACAGTTAAAGTTAAATGGTCAGTGGACTGGTTCTTTTATAGTGCTTTTCTACTTTGAGCACTCTACACAACGTGTCTCATTCATACAAGCACTTTTTGTATGCTTCTTCTCCGCAAGTGCTTTTTATCTAACGTTCACATACATTCATACTATAACTCATGAATTCAGAGAACAACTTGAGATTTGTATCTTGCCTAACGATATTTGACAGATCGGGATTGAGCCACGAACCTTCCAATTAAAACCTTCCTGCTCTACTTTCTGAGCCGCAAAAAAAGCAAGGGACACTTCTCACTCCCCCTCAGGGAACCCGGTCTTCCATGTGACATGAGTTCCACTTCACTAACTAGGATCTGACACGTGGGTGAATAGGAATTAGTGCACAGTGAAGGACCCCTAGCAGCAGAGGACAAGTCATGAACATAATGGTAAATACAGTCCAAAAACCAGGATTGGAGGAGGAGTCATTGAGTGTTTGTGTTTGAAAAATGGTTAAAGTTTGTTTGGAAGGGGAGTTTTTTAATGTGATTCATTTAATCTTATTTCAGGTCCAGGTCTCTCTTGGAAATGAGATTTTTAGTCTGAGTAAGTTATAGAATATCAAAAGATTACTTTTTTTAAAAATCATGACAACATCCAAAGGAAACTACTTTAGTATTACTTAGAAAAACAAACGTTTTTCTCATACTTGATTCAGTTTATATTTAATACAACACATTTTAACAAAAGATTTATAAATGCACACATTTTGGGAACCATTTTTAATTCCTTTGCGAATTTTAATTTTCTGCAAATACAATTTTGTAGCATCCATGACACTTTTCTTATGCAATTGTACTCATACAATTACAAATCAGACACTAAACTTTGTATGTATTAAAAACAATGAGGGTCTACCTGCCAGCTGCATCCACCTCAACACATGCAACTGTTATATGAAAGCATATAACAATTTATACGCTTTCATACTGAACTCAACTGACAATTACAAAAACCATAAATGATAAATTTGAGTTATCTTCACTCTTACCCAGATGTGATCGTGTCTTCAGGCAGTAAGGTACATGTTCAACTTTTATTTTCTGTCGTGCAAAATTGCAGTCACCTCAAGGCACTTGATAATTTAAGGTAAAGACCTTCCAGTAACACAGAAAAACCCTTATCAATAGATAGCACAAAATTAAAATAAAGAAGTTGTTTACCAAAAAAGGCAGCTAATAAAAACCCCCAAACTTGATTACATGGAATAGCATTTAAAGATGTATCGAATGAAAGGTTGGACATAGAAAGCAGTGGTACTCCTACATAAAACCCATCACTACATAGCCAGTCACTAGCCAGTGAATAAGAAACTGACATTTTTCAACAATATGCACCAAATAAATGTAATAAATGTCAAATGTAGCACATTTTCACTTAAAAAATTAGCAAAGTAGCTGTAATTCCAGGTTTCTAAAGCAAAAAACAAAAAAAGTTAATTTAACAGATCAATTTTCACATTTTAATGTGACCTTTACTTAATTTTCATAAAACAATTTAATTTTCAATTTTTCGCAGTAAAGGGGGCACTATAATGGTTTGGGTGCTTTTTCCTTCAGTGGAACAACGGAGCTTCAGGAGGTGCAGGGGCATCAAACAGCTGCTGGCTATGTCCAGACATTGCAGAGCATCCCTCATGACTGAGAGCCCTCATCTGTGTGGTAACGACTGGGTTTTTCAACAGGACAGCGCTAAAGTACACAATGCCTGCATGACAAGGGACTTCTTCCAGGAGAATAACATCACTCTTTTGGACCAACCTGCATGTTCCCCTGCTTTAAATCTAATTGAGAACCTTTGGGGATAGATGGCAAGGGAAGTTTACAAACATTTCCAGACAGTAGATGCCATTGAAGAGGTTTTTTGGAGGTGACTCAACCAAAGCTGGTGCTGGTCTTTATTTGAAATTAGGGATTGTCTTGACCTTTTATATTTTTTTGTCTTTGAAGATTCAAAGCAATTTTTCTAACATGAAATACAAAAGGTGCACGATTAAGACAAGACTAGTTTCAAATAATCAATGCAGCAACTGCTGTTTATTAGATAAGCCACATGCATTATGACCCATCTGAAGAGCATTCAATCAGTTTAAAACATCAACTGATTGAATCCGTGAATCTGAAAACGTGTTTCTGAGTGAAAGAGACAGACATGTACAGACTGAACTATCTGTTCAACATTCAGAGTGTTTCTCTAACAGGAGGAAACTCTTTACACCCAACTCAGCACAGACACACTGAGGAAACAGGAGACCAGAAACTAAATCCAGGATAAAGAGTTTGAGTGAAAGTGGTGTTGAAGGTGTGGAGGTGGATCAGAGTGTCAGAGGAGACACTGTAGAAGGACAGAGTGCCAGCAGGACAGTCCACATACACTGCTACTCTGTTAGAGACGGAAGAGGAGATGGATGTTTTTCTGTTATTGTGCCAGACAGAGTAACCAAGAACATTAGAGCACCACAGACTCCAGGACTGATCATTGTATCCAAACACACAGTCATCACTGTCTCCTTTCCTTCTGATTCTTCTGTAACTCACTGATATATAAACATTTCCTTTCCACTCGACCTCCCAGTAACAGCGACCAGTCAGACCATTTTTACACAGCAGCTGAGGATGGACATCAAATCTGTCTGGATGATCAGGATATGACCGAACCTTCTCCACACGCGTCACCTTCATGTTGTTGTCAGACAGTTTGAGTCTTTTGTTTACTGTGTTTGTGTCGATCGTGA